TTGAACCTGGGGATTCCTATGTACCCATTGTCTACTTAAAAAATATATGGATAGACTTTACTTTAGCTTCCATTTGCTTTGAATTTTGATGAATGTCAGAATATTTTAGATGGCCCCAAGTGAAAAGATCAGTGTTTGAATATCCGATGAATGTCAAAATACTTTGGACGGCCACAAGGGTAAAGATCATAATGTCCCAGTTTGAAAGTAATTGTTATACGAGCGTATAACCTTGTCAAACTCTGTAATAATATTTTGTACCTATAATGTTAATTTGAAATAAGATACTAGTCTCGGTTTGAGGAACGAAGTTCATCAGTCTACTACACGTTACGCCTGCTTTGGACAATTCTGATATTTTTGAATATTGTAGATTTAAATGTCCTCTTTCATGTCTTTTGAATATTCATAATTTAATTTGGGTGATATTGCTATGTTTTTCATAAAAAGATTATTAGCGAAATGGACTTATGAACTTCTTTCTCCAAATCTAGACTGGTCTTTTATTGAATCGGTCTACTGCACGTTACGCCTACTTCGGACAATTGTGATATCTTGTAGACTTAAATGTCCTCTTTGAATATTCATAATTTAATTTGGGTGATATTTCTATATTTTTCATAAAAAATTATTAGCCTAGGAGACTGTTCTCCAAACTTGTCCTTTTCATAAAAGTATAAAAATGCATTATAAAAAGTGATTTATTGTGCATCTTTATGTCTAAATAAATGATATAGAAAAGTGACACCAAGCCAAAAGCATTTATATTGTCCTTTTACGATCTTAGATTATTTAAATGAATATTCATGATTTACTAATCGTATGCGTGCGCCTGCAATTATACAAAAAATCATGACTTAGATAGACACATTGATCGCAAAACATTTACATACTTAGCCAATGTTTATATGTAAATTGAATCTAATAGTTTAACTCAACAAAAACCTATCATCTCCTTAACAAAACGACGATAATCTGGATTTGGATTTACCAATCGCGTATAATGCGCCTTATTATCTTACCTTCACAGGTGAGCTTTTCTCGGAATTGTTCGAATGAAAACGTCTGAATGCTAAGAATGAGCAATTAACGAGAACCAATCCTCCAAATGGTTTTTATTTACACGGGGATCTATCTTGTCAAACCGCCCAAGACAACAGGAAGAAAAGACTTTAATCACATCGGAATTGGCATAAAAACTTAATTCAGCAGATTTTTAATCTTATGAGAATCTTTGGAGTAAATTACAAAATGGATTTAATGAATAATTTACAACATAAAGGTAGATTCTTAGAGGATATTATTAACGAAGATGATCATATTTTTCTAAAGGAAAGATAATGGTTCTCTAACTGACAGTACTGATTGAAGACATGCCAGAATATCCACAATGGCATCAGTCATGTTCAAACTAACAATCAATTACCAATATTCAAAGAGCATACATTACCGCAAAACAATTGGCCACCATTTTTCATGAGGTTTTTATGAACCTTTAAGAGATTCGATTTTCTATGTGTAAAAATTCATCCATCAAAGTTGCACTCAATCTATCTTGCATCAGGGATTAATAAGACATTTCTTTAGGAGAATAGACAGTTCGTTAATATGGACTATTTTGAAAATACAAGTTCATTATACTTAGTACTAAAACCCAATAATGATTTTAAAGATGCTTTATACAAGGGGCGATCCATATATTCTGATAAAAATGCTCATATTTTGTGATTTTTTCACATACCCCTCTCGTTTTTTCAGAACATATAGATTATGTAATAACTCATACAATGCTAGAATATTATAGCTATATCATAAATTAATTTAGAAATAAGATTGCCATGGTAACCTGTATTAAGGGTAGGCAGGTCAATTAAATTATAACCTATAGAATATCATACTAACTTGTTATTTAAATCATTTTAAAGCATGTGGAAATCATAATTTTTTTCTAAAAGAAGTTTGGTATTGCTGCTCGTTGTTTGTTGCTAAATATAATATGTTTATTCATGTACACTATAACATCACAACAGCTCACAATAGCAATGTATGACAGAATGGGCCGAATGGCATTACATGTCATGAGACACAACAAAACCCAAAATGTCAACCAATATATATATATTATTCACTTGTTTGTTTGCATCTTATCACTCATTGCTATTGCTGAACTATTGGTTCGCCTGCCTTAACTTAACTAAAAATCAATAATGGTTTTAAAACTGCATACAAATTGTCTTAAAGCAGATATGAAATGGTATTTTTAACCTAAAGGAATCAATATAATTTTTTGATAAATGTATTTGGACATGTTTTCTCATCAGTAGTGTGAAAATTATTTCACTCTAACGATCGTTATAGCTTCTTAATAAGCAATATTCGAATTGGTTGTGACGTTATTGGCCCCCACGTGATCTCTCACTGGTCCCCACGTGGCCTGGTTTTGGTCCATTAGATCATGACGTCATAATGCCAAAATGTATTGTTATTTGTTTACACAACAATCATATGGTTGCCGTGACGTTGTGATTACTAAGGAACCAATAAACCAAAGCTTTATTTTGTATATGACGTTACTAATCACGTGGGGGCCAATTTGATTGATCAGTTAGTTTTATTTCGTTATCTATGACCGTTAGCAGTTATCTAACATTTATTTTATAATGGCTATCGCAAGAACTCTACGTTGGGCTTACAATGGAGAAAACCGCATTTTTGTAGCTGCAAGTTGAGAAAAGCTATTTCAGTTGTCCTTTAACTATAAACATTTTTTGAAACATTATAAAAGTTTTTTTCAGCTATATAAAATGATTCATAGCGAATAATGAGAATAATGGAACACAAAGTTAGCCTACACTTACGAAACACATTTTGCAAAGTTTTTTTGTCATTATTATCTCCTAAAACATGTTTTCTCAACATTGTCTCAAATAATCATACTGATATGACATGATATGACACATGATATGACACATTTATATTATCATTACATAATTAAATCATTATAGGGTTTATAGGAAATTACTAAAATTATTGAAACATCACAATGAAACGCCACTTGATATATTCAAAAGAGTTAAGCACGTATAAACACACCCAGACGGCACATGTGTACACATGCAAAACGATGAAAGAATCATCGAGAAATATAGTTTTCACATTCTCGACTTCTGAATGACACTTAATATACTTTAATCCCTTAATCTACATAGATCACGAGTGCAGTAACTTCCTAGAATATGTTTGATTCTTTCAATATATCGCCAATAGGCTCGCACCTGAGACCATCTTCACTATAAAGTACAGGTATTAGGTGCTCATCTGGGGACCTTTGATGTGGACCTTTCCCAGAGACGATGTACACTAGCATTATCCGTACTACTCACAGTTTCCGACGCTTTGTTATAAGTTAAGGGTTTTTAAGCTTCAGGATTACTCGAGCCTAAGTCTCAGGTTAGAGGGAGGAAAGAACATAATTCGTGCACTAACCACAACTCTGATGTTTAATAATTGAACAAGATTGATTCAGTAATAATGGTCGAAATCCCCACTTGGAGACTATTTTCAGATATTGTTTCAAATAGGTGAAACATGATTATTAATAAGCATTAGCATGAGAGAACTTTCATCTGAATATACAGGGGTCCTATCCAAGAGATTAAGGACACCATGATACCGTGTATTACACTCCTTTTCTATTATCATTTTTGTATCATCGGTAACACGGTATCATCTCTTTATCAAGTTATAATCTCAGTCTTCAAAACACGTAAAGCATGTAAAAATTGCCATTAAGATATCGATATTCAGCATAATTTCGCCGTCAAGAATTTTGACAGTATATCTGCTACCCTAACTAACAGGTGCCAACACATCGAGGGTGTTATATTTATTTTACAGGTGATGTCTCAATGTATCTATTCTACGAGTTAATTAATACATCGCAGTTTCAACTTACTGACGTTTGAATGTTTGATGTTCTTCTTTAAATTCCATTTTACTCTTTCATAAACATTGATTCTTAGTTGATAAAGAAAACATTGAAGCTTTTACAATCTTTGCCTTCTGGGGTTGAGACACTGTTACACGGTACACCTGAGTTGATGTGTTAGACTTTCACTTTCATGTTTTGTGAAAATGAAAACATGCGGGAATCTAATTGTTTCTCTACACGTCTGTATAGAAAAGAATACGTGATTCTAAAAGCAAATCCGCTTATTCACTTTCTTTAATCAAATAATTCTTGACCTTTCTCCTATAGCGAAGTTAATCAAATATCATTTGTAATCATCGCCAATCATCGCAATACAAATGAATTTACATATTTTTGGCTTTTGCCACCATGATGGTATCATCTCCTATTGAAAACCAATACTTCTTGAAAAGGCGTCAAAATCTTGAAAAGAATTACAAAATCTCCTCATCCGTTAAGGAACGCGGGTTTTGTGAATGCATGAATTATTCTACTAATTAAATTACTTCTTAATCCACTCAGCACCAGGGGCTTAATTGTCAACAGAGATACTGCTTTTTCATGTCTCAATTCACATAAAACACCATCGCGAAATCCCAGTTGATGGGATTACTCACTCGGACGTTCAGTTTATATGCTAAATTCAAGGAGATTTTCCGATTACTAAGCCTTACTATTGGAACATTTTCACCTTTCCGTCTTAACACAGAACATCAAGAATGAAACTGAAGCAACGAATAGATTTTAAAAGTACTTTGAAAATTGAATAGACTAATTACATACACTGGGTAAATATAACCTAAATAAGGTTGATATACTGCGTATACATACGAATCGGGTTCCTTCAATAGATTAAACCTGATATATGACGTATAATATGCACAAAATAACTAATATAAAAAACTTTATATTGCCGATTGATAATCTCTTATTTTTTAGATTTCCAGGTGATAGGTTACACCTCTCAATAGTCTACATGGGACTTATTTTGCAGTTCGTTCCTTATAATTGGAGATCCCTTTCTTTTCAGATTTCTCTTCAATTGTTCCCCAGAGTCCAAAGAACAGTAATAACAACACAGATGGGGAGGATAGAGAGAAACAACGAGGAGAGAGAAACAATGGTAAAGAAAAGACGACAAAACCAGAAATTGACATATCCCCAATGGATCTGAGCAAAGGTGAATATTTCCATATTTGCTTTTAAATGTTTTAAATCAGTTAGACTTACACGGCGTGGGTGCCAGACTAACAGATTAAATAATATAGAAACGTTATTTGTAGACCATCAATCCAAAAGTATGGAAACGCCATTAATTATAATTCTTAAACATGATCTTCATGTGAATTAATATGGCGATATATTGTTTTATCTAATTGTTTTTGTGGCGCTTCAGTTCAGTATTTAAATCAGTTGAAAAGGATCCAGATGTGATCCGAAACGAGGTGTGAATTTAAAATAAAGGTTATGTCAAAAAGAACAAAATAGTTTTGTGAAATAATTATAATGATTAGAATACAACGTGCATTTATGCTAAAAAGCTAATACAATTTTATATTCTGTTTTCCTCTATCCTAAATAATGTGTAAGCATGTAAATTTGACATGGTCCCTCGAATAATCGTGGAAAAAGTTGTAAAGATCTTAATTGAGATTGCCGGCATTTAATATCACCACTTGTTGTTTCCTTCATATACATCGTTACGCGGTTGTAGATATATGGTCTATAGAGCTCATGAGAACTGAACATATTTCTACAACTGGAAGACATCAAGCGATGAAAGAGTAATCCTTGTCTAATGGCAGTATGAGTTAAGTCACAAATACGGAGATAAAGAAACAATATTCATGTATACATTTCAGAAGATTTGTCTAACGATTTGCCATTGTCTCATGATACTAATCACCCAGTTATTTCACCTTTGCGCTTTAGAAACCTCTTAGATTTAATGCCTTTTTTCTAGAACTAAATTGATTACTTTTACACATTGTCATTATGGTTTTTTCCTGAAGGATATTAAAAAGCAATTAAAATGATCATATTGATACGGGAACTTTATTCCCCAATGAGAACAATAATTACGTAAATGACCATTTTACAAATATTTACAGGATAGCAACCTCGTTAAGTCTATTTTATTTTAATGCCAATCAGTTGTATTAATTTTGCATAAGTATGCTCATGGATTTAAGTCACTCAATATCCCAGTGTATTATACAATGATATCATGGAATTATTACTAACGTGTGTATATCCTTGTTGTAAATAAATTAAGATATAAGGTTGGGATATGAACTTTAAGATATACCATTGGCCTACAAATACAACAAACATTGGGATGATTTGGTCCACTGGTTCGAACCATCGAAGACATATCATAAATATCTTAATCCGTTGATCCTGGGGAAAGATGAATATTTCACAGAATTCCACAAGACATCTGCTGGCAACGTTTAAGTTTCACATATTATCACGTAAAGGCTGAGTTCTGCTAGCAAAATTGATGTCGTCGATTGTTTATTTAGATGTTTGAACATTTATATTCGTTTTTTAAATCCCGAGTTTTTGCTGTGGTTCGTGGTAATGGAGCGAGTCTAAGCTGGCGTATCACGATGCGATATAATGTTCTGTTATAGTCTGACACAATGCTTACTTCACATGAGATAGAGTATCAATCAAACAAATGGAATCAAAATAGAATATATTCAAATGAAGGTGATAGTGATGAAATCAGATTTAATCAATTAAAATTATCTGCTTCTTTGAGCTCATGGTATTTGATTCTGGTTTCACAACACGTGTCTCATATTACGTAACTTATCACACTCACATCCTTTTGTGCTTTTCCTTTTTTGAACGTTTTTTATTTAACTTAGATCTGTGATATTTCTATATATTAGAGATTTATGAAAAATGACAAAACGTTCATGTAACTTTAATGTTAATTTAGACCCGATTTAACCTTCTTTTCTCCGTTGCATTAATGTGCGCGTTGACTTTTGACTTTTGAATTTCAATAACGTGAAATATGCTAATCATACAATAGAGGTAACAAAGTGAATTCACATAACCATAGTAATATGTGTTAGTTTCAATGAGAAAAAAACGTTTTCATTTTTTTGTCTGCTGACATAATCCTTACATGGAAATCGTACAAAGATACATGTAGGTATGTTAATTGACAAAATAGAATCAAACCTGAAAAACGTCGATGGGAGTCTGTGTGGATATAAACATTTTGTGATTGATCACACGTATGTCCCAGAGATTTGGGTTCTAAGTCTTCAGGCGCCACAGTGGGCTAAACTTCAACATGACACCCTAATCTGGGCCTAAAGTCACCCGCGTTGACATCTACGTCAAGTGATCTCTCGTCTTTTCTCTTGGCAAAGCTAGATGATGTGCGTTATTTGTCCAACTAATACCAGTGACACTTGGTAGAGTCATAAGACCAATAAGATACAATAATCAAGGCAATAATTTGTCGTATGAAAGTGTCTTATCATTATTGTATCACTTAGACTACTACTATGTTTACTCAATTGATGTCTATACTTACCGAAAGATTTACGTGGATAAAAAATCAAATATTAATTTTTGCGAAAATCAACTTTAGATTTAAAACAGTTAGCGAGACCGTGAGAGCTACGCCCACCCCGTATAGCTTCTTCATTGTTCACAGTTTATTAAAAAGGTAAATTCGGACTTAGAAAACATAAATGCCTGGTATTATTTCAAAACTAGAGTAAATACATATATAAATTGTACAAACATCGTGTGATGCCTGGTACCATTTGATTATCTGTATCGCAGACTACATTACTTGCATCGGCAGTAGGAACCGTATCACCTGGGACAAAGGTGCTATTATCCATACATCAATTGGACATATTAAAGATACTGCGAATGAACCAAGAATCAACTGTTCTGAAAGTTGTTGCAATACAAAACTAGTTGAAAACACATTTACAAAATGCGTAGAATCGACATACTTGGCTCATGTCCATCAGGTGCGGACTTGCAAATTTGTAGCTTAGATAACGAAAAAACTGAGAAAATTGAAATTTATCAAGAATAACATAATTTATTTTAATATATGAATTTTATTTATAAATTGTTCTTTCAAGAGCAGCATTTTCAAATTGGATTTTGTGATTTTATATTTTTCAGAGTCAGGGTCATCACTCTCTCCATCTCCACCCAGTTCACCAGACACAAGCAGCAGTGGAGGTCATCCTGATATTACTCCCTCAACCAGGGCCACCTTCCCGACGTCATCCTCTCTCTCTAGTTATCCGCCATCACTTATTCACCCCGCGCATATGACCACGGTATCAACAGCGATGATCCCCCCTGGGATACTGCAACATCACCATCACCATCACGCGCACTCTCACCCCCACTCAGTCTTCATCGATCCTCGTCCAAACACACTCGGCCCAATAAAAAGAAACTCCCCGGGTCTTACTTGTGTCGTCTGTGGAGACATTTCAAGCGGGAAGCATTATGGGATACTCGCCTGCAATGGATGTAGCGGATTCTTCAAAAGAAGCGTTCGTAGGAAACTTATTTACAGGTACACACTAATCAAATAATACTGCTGTGATACGATGTTATCCAAAATATTGATATCTTAAATCGTAAATTTTAAATCTTCATACATCCATTTATAAATACAAGATTTTTTAAAAATATTTTGGCAGGTGCCAAGCGGGTACGGGAATGTGTAATGTAGACAAGGCGCACAGGAACCAATGTCAGGCCTGCAGACTGAAGAAATGTATCACTATGGGGATGAACAAAGATGGTATGGATATTGTCGAATCATTATATATTGATACAATTATTAATATTGAATTGAAAATCAAATGTCAACTCGAATCATCATATCATGAATGTTTCAACGTTATGCATTGCGGATATTTGATCGAAAAAGGTTATACATTATCAATTGACCAATAGCGTGTCAGACGGTATTGCATAATTCCATCGACTATCCAATGACAGAAAAGAGATAATATCCTTGAATTATTGTCCTTAATTGGCTTGAGGTACAGATACGAAACTAAACACCGTCTTACTTTCTAATCTAATCTCTCGATTGAATTCTCTCAATAGAAAGTTCAAACAAAATACCTCAATTAAAAAGAGCAAATCGATTAGAATTGATCACGGAATATAGGAAATCGTGCTATAAGTGATTTGCCTCAATGTAACACGTTGTTTCATCTAAGAATATTTGGTTTGAATGTTGGTAATTATGAGAAAACATTTCGTGTAAATGGCAGAAGATAACAAAGTAAGACAATGTACCTGTCAAAATGACAAATCGAGGTTATTAATGCCATTTATCCCTGGACTCAAATCAGATATTATAGTTCACGTATTTGACGGCCAAGATCCAGTGGGATTTGTCGTTCACGCAAACCACTAGCAGACGACATTTAGGTGGTATAATTCTACTATAATCTGGGTACATCTCAGACAAATACAAACGGAAGTTACTAGGATCAATTCCATAGAAACACGCATTGCAACAATCATTTTTACTTGATAACAGATTAAATACCTCATCTCTGAAGTAATGCTTCTGGAGAGGAGGAAATTCCTATCGATTGTCTAACATCAAACAAAACACGGAAGACAGACCCGATTATTAAATTGAAGCAGTTGTGATTAAGTTGCATTTAATGCCAGCTAGCAAGCCACTCCACTGTCAATTTTATCGTTTTTGATGGTTCTATTAAGTTTTATTAAGTGTGGTAGGGTTAATGTAATAAATTAAATAGAACAGGTCTCGGAAGCAAATTGCATACGACAAACCATTTAATGTCAGATATGCTTTACTGAAAGCTTCTTAATCGCATAGGAGATTCTTGATCAGTAGATGCAAGAGTGCATAATCCTATTGAGAAAGAAATCTGAAAATATATTGTAATTATAACACTATCTTGCATAGTATTGATTAAAGTTTTTTGTTGATGCCATTTGCTTCAAAAAAGCTAGACGAGTTTTATCCAATCAAGTGCATTTCATTTAACAATCTGATTCACAAGTAACAATTACACAATTTACTCATAGACTTTTCCGAAGTTTGCTACCTGGCAGCTAGCATTAATTAAATGGAACAATTAGTTATTCTCCCTTTGGGGTCCCACACTTCTATGGTTAAACATAAATTAGAGGACGGTTGTCAAATGGGGAAGCAAATGGGCATAGTGACTTTATTAGCTAAATCAAGAAAATGATATTACCTCTACTAGATATCAATCAATTAAGCATATAGGTTATAGTCTTAATTTAGACATACTCATTATTAAATTGAAAGTCCTAATTACCATATAATATAAGAAGAATCCTTTGCAAACACACGTACCTTTATCTGCCCTACCCAGTGCTATGAATTAAAGTTCAGAGGAGGATGTCGTATATCTTTGATCAAATATTTCATTATTTTGCTGGGCCTTTGATAAATTGCATTTTCTAATTATGATATCTTTAATACGCACGTAATAGTAATATATAATCGAAGAATTATCCGGGTTGATAGACACAGTAAGAACAATCTAATGGTTTGAAATCAGTCGGTGATATCAGAATGGAATGAATAAATTCAATATAAGACAGCAGAAATCATGAAAAATGGTACACAAATTTAAGTATTGGGTAGAATAAACAAATGTTTAGCTAAGTAAAATTGAGAAAGAGAATTCTGGGTGACACAAATGTTTGAGAATGATTGTATCTCTCTATTCTTGTAGATGTGAGAGAGGCAAAGATACTCGGGCCTCTTCACACTTCGCAAGACTGCCCACCTTCAGATACCTGCGTCCGCGTTCCAACTATACCACGCATGCATTACTACCACCAAAACCATGGTAAATCTTTACGATATTTCAGCATTTAAAATAATGTAAAATTGCTACAGTCCGGGTATCTTATATTGAAAACGTCAACTTTGTGTCACTCAAAATATTCTCAATTTATAGCATGATGTATTGAATCTAATCAAATTGATTTTCTTGTAGCTGTTCAGAACGAACGACAGCCGCGCAACAGTGCGCAAGTGAGACAGGATCAGTTAGAGGGTGAAATTGATCGCCCCCTATCGGCCAATTCGTCGACCGTATCGGCAACTCATCCTGCATTTAGTCCTAGCTCTAATCACAGATTCATGGCTAACCTTATGGCAGCAGAGACAAGCGCAAAATTGGAACCTGAAGACACTGGTAAGGATTACAACACTCACAGGCTTTATGTATATTGGGGAAAATAAATTCAGGATAAATATACATTCATCCTATTTAGGTGGTTCTTATTCATTCAAGCTTTATTTTGTGTAAAGTTCCATTTTGAAGTTGAATTTTTCAGGTACTGTTTTTTGATGTGCATTCTAACGAATCCTAATGCTAATCTTAATGCACACTGGCATGAGTCAGTACCATATCCAAATGGAAAATTAAACTCAAGTATAATTGATTGTTATGATTTCCTCATAACGAATTGAAGATGATATGCAGTTTTTGATATAATTGTTCCAATTAGATGCCATCAAAAATGTGATTAAATCAGCTGATCGGATGATCCCTATTATAACATTGATTGATAGCAATCGACCATAATTCACTGGCAGATGGGTAACATTTGATTAATAGCTTAATCTTTGATTCAATCTCGTATAAGAATTATTTCCAATTTGGTAGATTTAAAACATATGGAGGTTACGATAAAATGAGAATGAGTAGCCCAAGAGGATTGGTTTAAGTGGGTATGGTTAATCCCGACCAACACACGAAAATTAAAAAAAATTAAAATTAATGTACTATAAATAAAGATAATTCTAATCCATATCAGCTCGTATCATTTTCAATATCATAAGAGTCTAAATTGATTTGAAATAGAACTAGCTGACAAATTGGATCGTATGTCAAATGCGCAATATATCAAATTATGTTCTTTTCAATAAGCAATGACCATTCTTGTTTTTATATAGGCCGAGAACAAGACAGTATAGATGTCTCAGGTGTCGAGCATGAACGCCAACACAACACAGCACATCACACAATCTCCATACCAACCCCCAGCTACCCAGAAACAGTCATGTATACCCCTGGACAGGAAACCATATATGAATGCTCTGCCCGATTACTCTTCATGGCGGTAAAGTGGGCAAAGCATTTACCATCGTTTGCTAGTCTACCGTTTAGAGATCAAGTGAGTTTAGCTTTATGCCAAGGCGTAATAAATATGCGACCCATACATGATATAATCTACTCTAAAGTTTGTTAGAAAAATCAATTTTTCAATTGCTTCTAGAACAAATATGGAATAATATAATGACAAATGAGAAAATAATTGCTAGATTTTTTTCAAAATGACTTCTCTAGATCGTTTTTGAGAAAGTATAAAAAGAGATATAAAATGATTCCCGCATCACATTTGATTTGCTACATACATCTGTCTCATATTATTCCTAATATGGACCGTTAAAAGAACCGTAAAACGTTACGTTTATGTTAAAGTTATGAATAACATAATTATATAAAATAAAATGTGATTATTATGAATAGCTTATATATTTTGTATTGATATGCTAATTGTACTTGTAGGTGATACTTCTCGAAGAAGCGTGGTCTGAGTTGTTCCTATTATGTGCTATCCAGTGGTGTATGCCCATGGAATCATGTCCCCTGTTCTCAGCCACTGACCACGCCCAGAATGCACCCAATGGCAAAACAGCAGCCACATTGAGTGACGTCAGAGTTCTGCAAGAAATTATGAATAGGTTCAAGGTCATTCAAGTTGACCCGGCAGAGTTTGCTTGTCTCAAAGCTATCGTTTTATTCAAACCTGGTATGTGTTTACAAGTACTTTTATTTTCCAATTTGTTAAAACAAGCCAATCTACCATATTTTCTATGTATATATACACGCACACTTTTTCAACCATCCACCCTTTTCGTCGACAGTGCTATTAGATAATTTACTATAAAGTATTATATCAATTTACGAGATATTGCAATACAATGAAATAATTTAATGGTCGCTGTGGTACTAAGACAGATGAAGTGGGTGATACTAAGGGATCTTTTTGATTAAATGTTGCATTTTACATTTCGTAATTGCCATTATTTTTATCAGAAAAATGCGAATAATGCTCCATTTTTCTATCGTGACAATAATCGCAATGTTTATGCATGATTGATCCTTTTACTTTAGATACAAGGGGATTAAAAGATCCACAACAAGTGGAGAATTTACAGGATCAAGCTCAAGTTATGCTTGGCCAACATATTCGAGCACAGCATCCAACCCAACCAGTACGGTAAGCTCAGTATTTTTGTTAAATATTATAATGCCATTAAATGTTTTTGTATTATTTTTACTAAGATTAATATCTCAATTTTATATTTTTTTCGTTATTTTATATTGTCTATTATAAAATTTTACACTTGGCTATGCAGCTATTTAATGTGATTACTACATGTTCTGAGCCGCCATTGCCTTTCCGTGGAATGATCCTCGTTGACTGATTCAAGATTGTGGTATTAGATGTTTTACTCTCATTTTATAGATTTGGACGGTTACTACTCATTCTGCCATCTTTAAGATTTGTTCTACCACCACGTATGGAGCATATTTTCTTTACAAGAACAATAGGAAACACACCAATGGAAAAACTATTATGTGATATGTTCAAAAATTAGCTAAAGAATGGACTGCTCTATATGGATTCCCGAACACTCATGGCGTTCGACTGGCTGTATATATTATTGTTATTATTTATTTTCAACTCTACTAGTGTATTAAACAAAATATACAAAGAGAATAAAGGACAATAGACATGTTCCCAAGATGTACAGATGTGCGTATGTCAAGACAGAATTGTATTTCAAACATATTTTTAAAATTGGTAATTATTTGTACATATTAATGTAAATGGATAGACCTATGTATAGTTTATATGTTAAAGTTATAAGATGGAAAGTAATATTTCGTTTATCTGTCGAATTTGCTTTGTATGAAATAGTGTACTATGTCCGATGTAGTACTAGCCCATGTGAAGAAATACAATACGTGCAATATACATGTAACATAAATAATACTATTATGTTTAATAAAATTATTTATATCTGTCACATAATGCAATTTACCAAAAGCAGCCGAATGAATGTGTTGAGGAGCTTTGTTCAAGACATCCCTCTGAACCATTCAAACATCGATTATATCCGGGCGACGATTGATTCATTAAGAATATTTCACAAGATGTGCTTTTGTAAAATTCAATGTAATTGCATATTTAGCAACTCCACTCTATCCAATCCACATATTTGATTGAATGATGATTTCAACTGGATAAAGCCAATGATGAAACAAAGAGATCTTACTTCCTTCATGACCAATTCTGTTTGTGAGACTTTATTTATCTAAATCCCCAAAATATCAGACATTCTTGGCTGCACGAACCCCAGATCTAATATCTTCAGTGTAAAAGACAATGCTTGTGAAGAATGAGATGGATTTTCATATGACCTTAAAGGCCCTAGGTTATATTTAAACCACTTTGAGTTATGCTGTAGGCTTACCCGTTATTAACAAAATGTGTAATGAAACTTTTTCTTTTTGTTTCAAATAGAAAAGTGAATTCAAAGAATTTTAGGTTCTCATTGAAACCAAAGGTGCAACAATATTTCAAACATTATAATAACTTTCTATCTGTGTAAATTCATCACTCTGGTAATATATTAATAATAACTTAAGAACTTATTTTCAAATAATATAGGATTTTGTTTTATTCTTAAAGCTCAGCATGCTTAAAAAAGATCTAGGGGAGAGTAAAATTGATAAATTAAAAAAAGTGTTGCACCCGAAATGACATCACGGCGTAACATAATGACACGGTTGACACCATAGATCACCTCAGTCTAAATACTCGCATCTGATTGGTCAGTTAGCGGTCAACATTTTTGTCTGTACATCAAGTCTAATGTATGCATAAAATTAAAATTACACATTGCTACATTTTTCATGCTATATTAAAAGTAAAAAAGTAGGCGTTCACGATTTATTCATTTCAATACATTTTATGTAATGACCATAATCAACCCGTAATCCCATTATTTTGGCAGAGAACAAACGAGTTTCAACAATGGACTCTGTGCCAAATTGATCGAGATGTAAATTAGTTACGTTTACATGATACTAATAGGTGATTCTTAATAGAGAGCCATATAATTTGTCTACATATGTAACTACCTTAATTCTAGTCTTCTGGAAATTACGCCAACAATGAAGGGAGCTGCCCATCAAACTATCACTTACACAACAGAACTACTAAGCCTGCAACGGAAACAGTCGAATATGCTGCCATCTTTAAATGGATAAAAAATATCTCATCGCAATCATGGAACAAGGCATTACCATGACAAGATGTCACCACCTAGTTGCTCACAATATTATGAGTTCAATTTTATGTCAGATTTGAAATTCTGAGAACTTGTAGATGATTTTGAAAAAATGGTCAATTTGAACCAAGTTGACAAAATGTCTTTTTTTGAAACTGAGAAGGTCATTGAAGGTGAAATCTCAAATCTGAAGTCAGATTTGAAGTTCTGAGAACTTGTAGATGATTTTGAAAAAATGGTCAATTTGAAGCAAGTTGAAAAAATGTCTTTTTTGAACCTGAGAAGGTCATTGAAGGTGAAATCTCAAATCTGAAGTCAGATTTGAAGTTCTGAGAACTTGTAGATAATTTTGAAAAAATGGTCAATTTGAAGCAAGTTGAAAAAATACCTTTTTGACCTCGAGAAGGTCAATGAAGGTCAAATCTAAAGTCAAATTTGAACTTCTGAAAACTTGTAGATGAATTTGAAAAAAACTGAAGTCAGTCTAAACAGTATTTGTCAAGTTATTGAAAGTTTTAAGAATTTGTTACAGACGCTAACCGCCGATCGCCAATCGCCGCCACAAAAAAACGGTGACCACAACAATATGTCACCATTTTTTGGTGGTGACATAAAAAGGGATAAATATTAATGTTTGTAAATTCACTATTGTAGACCATGTTTTAAAAGCAAGGCTAGGATATTTTACAACTAATTATGTCCCCACCACATAGTGTGAGGCCATATTGTCGGCCTAGGCGCGTCTGTCTGTCTGTCCGTATGTCCGTATGTCCGTCTGTCCGTCCGTACGTCCGGCAGTTTTCTCTAAAACCGCTACAGATATCATCTTCTTTTCAGGGATAACTTATGAGTGGATCTAGATGTGGATGAAAAAATTTAACTCGATACCTTCTTCCTGTCGGCCATTTTGAAGTCAAATGCTAAAATCCTTGTCTGCAAAATTTAAAAAAAACGGCTTCACAGTTGCTTTTGAAACTTTAACATCTTGTTCAGCTCACTTCATTCTACATCTGATTAGGTTTTGGACCTGTTAGCTCAGTCATGTCAGCCATTTTGAATGTTTTAAGAAAAGTTAGCGCGCGATAATACTTTGTATCATATTGAATGGTGTTTTTCAGTTTTCATACATTAACTATTTAGTAGCTTTATAAACAATTTCAGGTGTACTTTGTCGTAAAAGCCTATGTTATTGTTAACAGTAGTTATATGTGATAATTCTGTAAAAAGAAATCAGCAAAAACTCATAATCACTTTTTTATTGTCGGCCATTTTGGATTTTTCCGTCCTAAAATCTTGTCTGTAAAGTCTTGTCTACGCGTTTTCAGGTGAACCGTTTGGTAGATCAATTTCAAATTTTCAGGGATGATTCTTGGTATGAAAATCTAGATCTGATTAGGTTTTGGGCATTCTGGGTAAATGTCAAGGCAGCCATTTTGGATTTTCCGTCCTAAAATCTTGTCTGTAAAGTCTTGTCTACGCATTTCCAGGTGAACTGTTCGGTAGATCATTTTCAAATTTTCAGGGATGATTCTTAGTATGAAAATCTGGATCTGATTAGTTTTTTGGCATTCTGGATAAATGTCAATGCAGCCATTTTGGATTTTCCATCTTAAAATCTTGCCTGTGAAGTCTTGTCTACGCGTTTTTAGGCGAACTGTGTGGTAGATCAATTTCAAATTTTCAGGGATGATTCTTAGTTTGAAAATCTAGATCTGATTAGTTTTTTGGCATTCTTGGTAAATGTCAAGGCAGCCATTTTGGATTTTCTGTCCTAAATCTTGTCTGTAAAGTTGTCCACGCATTTCCAGGTGAACCGTTTGGTAGATCAATTTCAAATTTTCAGGGATGATTCTTAGTATGAAAATCTAGATCTGATTAGTTTTTTGGCATTCTGGATAAATGTCAAGGCAGCCATTTGGGATTTTCTGTCTTAAAATCTTGCCTGTAAAGTCTTGTCTACGCGTTTTTAGGTGAACCGTTTGTTAGATCAATTTCAAATTTTCAGGGATGATTCTTAGTATGAAAATCTAGATCTGATTAGTTTTTGGGCATTCTAGGTAAATGTCAAGGCAGCCATTTTAGATTTTCTGTCCTAAATCTTGTCTGTTAAGTTTTGTCTACGCATTTCCAGGTGAACCGTTTGGTAGATCAATTTCAAATTTTCAGGGATGATTCTTAATATGAGAATCTAGAGGAAATTAGTTTTTTGGCATTCTGGATAAATGTCAAGGCAGCCATTTTGGATTTTCCGTCCTAAAATCTTGTTTGTAAATTCTTGTTTACATGTTTTCTGGTTAACTGTGTGAGGGATCAATTTCAAATTTTCAGGGGTGGTTCTAAGTATGAAAATCTAGAACTGACTAATTTTTGGGCATTTTGGGTAAATTTTAAGGTGGCCATTTTGGATATTCTGTCCTCAGATTGTGTCGGTAAAGTCTTGTCTACTCATCTTTAGGATAACCATTTGACGGGATCACCCATAGGTGGGGACATTTTGTACACATTTGTGTTCTTGTTTTTAGTGCAATAATGAACCCTGTATCATTTTATTGGATTCAAAAGCATTCATGCCTGTACAAAGTAACATAACGACAATGTCCGGGCTCCGTCATCATTTCTCTCCTGATGGTAACTAAGTTATAACCATTAGAATTTTTCTATATTGAGCAAAACACTGGAAAATGTTTTGATATGGTCAGTATTGATCATTTAAAAATGTAGTGTTCATTTCCAGTAGGCTGCCATCTTTTAAGATTTCATACAGGAAGTGATGTCATGAAGTTTTCATTGCAGAAAATAACTTTTTGACAATTGCAAAATGTCACTTTCTGTTCAAAAAGAATGGTTTCTTTATCCTTAATTTAACCATAAATGAGAGAATACGCCTACACACTTTGAATAAGACTTTTTTGATATAATGCCCTTTAGGCGTCCTCTATTAACCCTTATATGTGCAACCTATTTTTCTTAACACTAATGGACGGGGGTGGGGGTCAGATGACCGCGTGACCAGATGAGGCGTTTCAAAAGTTGAAGAGGTACAGTAAAAAGTAAGGTACCATATTGTAGGTCATTCAAAACTCTCGAGGGAGGTGTATTAAAATCTCAAAAAGTAGGTCAAATAGGGTCAAAAATAGGTCAAAGTAACATAGGGGTCAGCTTTTCGTGTATTTTTTACCTTTTCAGTCAAAAACAACATAATTATAATGTTTTTTTCGTCAGAAAAGGGTACTAAATGTGATAAATGTATATAGTATCTACCTTTTTAAGACAAAAAAACGTGGGTAAATAGTAATAAATACTAAATACCTTTCCTAGATCCAGAGCTGGGTAATTTGGTCGAAAATGTGACGAAATGAAATATCGAAAAATGGGGGATGGAAGACAAATCACAGCCAAGGACCTAAGATACTGAATAGATCATATTCTTCTATAAATAACCTCCTTGGACATACCCCTGGCTATAATATAGTGTAAAGATTTTGGATATTGGTTGAGTATTAGCTGAGAAAATTTGTTTTTAGTGCATCTCGGCTAGCAAAAACGCTAGCTCGCGTATTGGAAATGAGTGTATTTGAGCCAGTAGTTGCAGCCCTGACATATTTTCATGATTTATTTTGCTTCTTCTATATTTACTGATTTATGAAAAATATTCTAAAATAAATAAAGCCAACCGAGATGACAAATTTTTTTCTTCTCAAAAACCATATCTTCAAATACAATTTACTCTTACCAACTTGTTTGTTACATACTTCAAATAATTGTGAAATATTTTGATGCATATATATTCTCAAATTTGTAAATTATGCGAGAATGAATCCTATGCATATTAAGATGCTAAAAATAGCTGCGAAATGGAAAAATCTTGGGGTAGTAGGGGAGACAAAAAAAATCTACAAAACTAATACAGACATGATTATATTGTTTTGCAGACATCTGACAAACATGTTCAGGACCTCCCAGAAAAAATCTCATGGGTAAATGATCGCTACTTTTTGAAAAATCATTTTTTACTCAAATTAATTGGATCGAAACCCGAGTCGCGGGCTACAATAAAATATTTAAAACTTCGTATCTCAGTCAATAAAAGTCAGGTTACCTTACAATATGGCTTGTTTGAAAGCGTATTCACTATACTATATGGTCTATAGCCAAAAGAAAGTAAATAGAACCAGCTTATATATTTTTATTCATGAAACCAGAGAGATGGTGTGATTTTCAAGCAATTTCCGAAATAAATCCTATGTTCCCATCATCCTAACTCAGCCACTTTACCACTTTACCCCCGGTCACCTCGATTTCTGCACCAAAAATGACCTTTTATCTTTAGCTATATACTAGGTAATACGGTTATAAAAAAGTTTTTTTGGCAGGGAAGTACCGGGGAAAATCCGGAGGAGGGTCGGGGGTCGGATGTCATCCTCTCCTGTACACATCAGGGTTAAGCAGAACCGTATATGTTGTAATGGCAGCAATAAATCGTCGTCTCTCCTCCCATTTAATCACTATGATCAATGCCAGGTAACATATTGACGATTCAATTGTTGTAACCCAATCTGAATAACATATTTACTTGTCGGATAATTGCCTCCGTATCTCTGCAATTTCAATCAAATGAGGATCATTTGTCTGCTCACTGCCATACGTACTTGCTGTTGTATTTGTCGACTGGGAGTGCTTCTCGATACAATATTCATTTAGAAGGTTATAGCACAACGTGAAATATCGTCAAAATTGGATATTCATTATTTTTGAACACAAATAGAGATATACATGATGCAATGAGGATTATAAATGTGAGTACCACCTTGGGGTACAACGTGTCTACGGACCCGACTTATCCCAGTAACATTACAGAGGAAATTTGGCGTGGCAGTCAACCATGGACTACGGGCGGAAGGTCGGAAATAAATTCAACAAAGTTACACGAACATGTCCTATTCAACACAACACTCTCCAATATAAGCATGATAACGACGGCGATCTACACCCAAAATATGCAAGATAAGAAAGACTTTGGTGAGCCACGGTCGGCTGCCTCTACCTTATTATTGCCGTCCTTATTTGGCATCTTCGTTATGTTTTCGTTGATTCTTGTAACAATCTGCGCACGTAGACAGCGAAAGAACATATTGTCGCAATGGCGGAAGGAACAACTTGGGAGTTACACGCGGGGCATGGGCTGGACTGCATATACGTAAGTTGTTTGCGCATATAGTGAAATGCATGTGACAAAAATTCAATTTCATTTGCGTTAAAGGGATTCATTGTTTGACCATTTCCCTCCTGATATGGTAACTAAGTTAAAACCATTATATACTTTCTATACTGAGCAAAACGCTGGAAAATGTTTTGATATGGTCAATATTGATCATTTAAAAATGTAGTGCTCATTTCCAGTAGGCTACCATCTTTTAAGATTTCATACAGGAAGTGATGTCATCAAGTTTTCAGTTTTATGAACTTGCCCAGGACAGTATAGGAAAGTAGCATAAAATCACTTTTAGACAAAAGGTTCTCACTTTCGATGCAAAACATTTTTAGGGCTCGTCAACTTAAAATTAAAGAAGACATTACCGTCAAAACATAGAAAGTAAATATATGGTTATAGGTATCGTATAAGGAGAGATTGAACTGGCAAGGGATATTCCTTTAAGGCATTCGAACATGTCGCATATCGAGATAAAGGAACACCCAATAATTAATTACATAGTGATAGGCTTAATAAGGTGCTAATTTTGTTTGCTCGACGAAGTCCTAATTAATTTTTGTAGGGATTGGAGCTTATTTGGGATGATGATCATTCATGAGTGGAAGCGTCACGATACGATTATGATCTACGATGATTACTAGGGCTGATGTCACATTGCGTATGATTGAATAACATCCTATCTATCTTCCCCCCGTATCTTCCCCAAATCGAGTCTTGCATAATGTAGTACGTTAATTTGTTTCAGACCAAATACACAGAGCTCACCGGGATCCACAGTTAAATTACCAAAACCCAATCACACATCAAGTCACCCACTGGCAGATAGCGCCAAACGTTACTTGAATTCCATGATAAAGAAAACATCAGGAAGGAACCACGGGCGTACTCAATCGGATGGGGAGATGAACTCTCCTCGTCCGGGGCACTCTGGGCAATCAACCCCGCTGCAAACGCCAAAGCTTTCATTGCCTCAAGATAACAGTACGATGTCCACTAATGTTTAATCTGAGATAATCCCATGTATCATGAATTAACGTTCTTAGGAATGTACATGCTGAGTTCCAAGAATACCATATCAAATATTTGATGTCGCCAAGTACCTAAAGATACAGTGTCTCCTAGGTTTCTCTCCCGGACAATCAGTAATGTCTATTTATAATTGCCGCCTTAGATATATCTTGAGACCAACTTATGGACACTGTAATGGTGATATATTGACAAAATCAACAGAAACCCCAACTGTCATAATTGAACGCAATTTGAGCTTTCCGCCATCCTTAGGAATTCCCATCACGTGACACGAGCGTTGTCACATGACTTAAACCCCTGTGCAACCAATCAGATTCAGAGCGGATTTAAGTCCAGAGCGAGCTTGAAATGAATTGTGGATAATTTCAAACACGAATGTCTTGTATCCAGATGAGGGCAGTAGCTCGTATTCAAAAATATAGGATACAAAACACGAGCATTAATTGAGTCATGTGCTTTATGCTATTTATAGTCTTTCATTCAACTGCAAATTTGAACCTATGAAATTCGTGAAGAGGGTAACCAATTTAACTGAATCTAAAAGCATAGCCATTTACTCTGCTTTAAAATAAAGAATGCATATCATTTCAAATACTGTGTTTTGGTTTGATATGTCGTGTCTATAAAGCTATGTGTGAAGAGTACATATATTATGAATTTTGAAAGATTTACTGACATTCAGGTTCAGAAATCTGTCCATTTCATTTATGAAATGCGCAATTCAATTTGTCATTAAATCTTGACAATTATTATAAGCAATCAGTCTTGAAATATCAGACAGGCGGTCCAATAAATAAACTCACTCGCATCGGAACGAATCGCCAAAATGGAAAACGCGATTTCTGCACACAAAGTCGCTTATGCTGCTACTGTAGCTACACATTTATAGTACATTACTTTTTTAATCCCTTTCAATAAAAATAAAATTCAAGAAAGTTGAACAATTATCAATTACAATTGTCTCACCCTGTATGAAGTGTGCATGCATGTGTCCATTTACATTTACAAATGTGCATGACAAGAAATGGTAGATCTGAAACAATTAGCTAGATATCAATGGAACAACATTTTTAGAAGAAATTGCTTTCAATCTCTGATTCTCCCTTGATTTATGATTCGTCAAATCAATCAAGTCAATGTTGTATGAATCGCATCAAGGTACCTCGTAAAAGAATATTTATGGATGCAGTCACCGGTAACGGCGCAGATAAGTACAGTGTGTCAGAGTTGTTGCAGGAACGTAAATTGTAGTATCCGATATTTTATTGTCAGCTTGGAATTTATAGTTTCTGTATACAGATATACGTAGATGCGTGGATCACATTTCGTATTATTGGGTTGAAGATTAATTATAAAAGACAGTCATCCGGAATAATGGCAATCGAGATATTTTCTCCAACTCAGTTACATTCCAATACCTTCGGCGCGTACGTAATCCATGCCGCAAGAATCCAATTTAAATCCGCGTGATTTTAGGCATTTGAGCGATGGTAAAATTGAGTTTTTCCATGATTCGCACATGGCAATCACACGTGAATCCAATTGAATTGAAGCCACTCTCTCGCATTAAAAATAGTATGTATTTAACGTGGTTTCTATGTGGTTACAAAATAGATCGGGGTGTATCTGATCATAGTCATATTAATTTAGAAACAGATCGTTGTAGTCGAATATGTTATTCCTACGAACGGAATTCGGAAAACATATTGAATAGTCAGTTGGTCAGTACGTCTCTTAGTCCAAAAAGAATGACTCAAAAAATCTCGTGGGTGAAGCTTCTTTCTTGAAATGTAACTGAAATGATTTTAAATGAAATGATTTAAGGGTATTAGAAAACCCCGTCATGGTTAGATATGATTTGTGTTGTAAATTGCAATTCTATGGAGTTACCGTTTTTCAAGTTGGTTTAATATTTTGATTTGTGAAAACATTTTGTGCTATATTAAGAATGTATTTTGTGCATACCCATTGTGGTTCAGTTCTGATTTTATTACATGACTGAATACTTTGATTTTAATTTTAATCTGGCAATCATTTTCAAAAAGTGGAAATCCCCCTTTATGATTGCATTTAAAAGTACATGCTTTTTTCATTTTACTCTCTGAATTATAGTGTGCTTCTATATTATTTGCTGATGCTCGACACCTAACAAACGTCCAATCGTTCGGCTTTGTTATTTGTATTGTTCACCTGGAGTCATGTTTTGTTTTATCAATTTATAAATCTGTCCTGATCCGATCACGATACACTGGGACCATTGTATCTCTGTATTCCAAATGAAAATTCAACGAGAAGTAGAGCTCATTATGTCTGTATGTAGTCCCATTGGTCATCTGAGAATTCGGGAAAATATACGGTATCATCATGTGCATTCACCTTTCTCAAATTGCATATGTCTGGAGACCATCGTTCGTTGTCCTCAGTCGGCTGTATAAATTGTGAAACTAGAAAACAGTAATTCCATAAAGTAGCAAATCCAATCGAACAAAATACGTTTCTAGCCTTTAAAGCGGTGGAAGATATCGTTAAACTGTGGCACCTCCGCATGATATGTGAACAAATTATCATACTCCATAGTTCCAATGTCATATAAGTCGGATCTAGGTCAAATATCAAAGCATAACGTAAACTATAAAGTACTTGAAAACTACAAATATCGAAATCGACACTTCCCGTCCGCCATCTTTGATGCGAAGGTAACGGCCGTTACCGTCGCTTGATACTGACCAGTGATACTAAGACAAATCAATGTCAGTATTCACTGCCTAATGTTATTATATGTTAGCTAATATAAGCGTGTCTGAGATAGGATAAACTTTCATGCACCGCCAGTGATGACATAACACAATTATCACGCGGTGTTAACTTCGACCGTTAATTTGAATTTTTGGCCTACCGGATGTTTGAAAATCGAGGATTACGAGTCTCATACTGCACCGTTTTTCTTCAAACTTGTTCCATTCAAAGCATAACAAAAATCCCTTTCTGTTGGTACATTATTCTCCTAAACAGAGTCCCTACTTCTAGCGGCATTTTGGTCCCCAGCTGTAAGAAGGCCTACTAAAAGCAGGGGACCAAAACGCTGCTAGAACGAGCTGGGACTCTTTACAATAAAGTAATGCACCGACAGAAAGGCAATTTTGTTTTGCTTTTAATGGTATAAGTTTGAAAAAAAACGGTTCAGTATGAAACTCGCAATCCTTGATTTTCGAGCATCGGTAGGTCAAAAATTCAAATTAACGGTCGAAATTAGGACCGCGTGATTATGAGTTCAATGACTCGTTCTTCAAATGTGAAGGTGGAGGTCTTGAAATGTAAAAATTGACAAAGTGTCCCCAAATGCTATTCTAGTATTCAAAATAAGTCATTATCTTATTATCAAATGTGTATTATATAACCTTATTTCTAAAATGGGTGTTGGCCTTTGACAACCCTTTAACAGTGATATTGCCTTTTTACTGTACCTAGTGTACCATCTGAAACATTAATAAAAGATGCATTATCCTATTCATGATAAGATTCATTAAGTTGAATAAAAAGTTATTTCAGCGTGAAAGTAAAGTGGGTGTCGCACTTGGCTACAAGGGTTGAACAATGCTAATAAGGAATCATCCGATGGCTTGATGATTCCTGGAATTTCATACTTCCCTCCAAGAATGAAATGTTAGCCTGTCTTTTACAATTAATCCCACTCTACTGTCTATATCTATATATAAGGGAATCATGCGTGGGAATACTAGAGTACAATGATGGTATTTACTATTTAGCTTAACCTCTTAAAAATTATTTAAAAAACTTAAAAATGCACATTCGTCATATTTGACAACTTGTTTATGCAATATTCTACAATTACAAGTAACAGCAAGACTCCATTTTATATAGTAAATATATATTTAAGAACTTTATACACTTCACTATGAGAAAATGTAAAACCAAATGAAATACAATGATTTTCCCATAAGATAAGCAAAAAATTAAGTTTCTTCCTTGAAAAAATTAATTAATAGCCATGTTTCATCTGCAACTATTTACAAAAACATATCAATGCCATACATGTACAGCAGTGTATGGCCAATTATTAATGAAAATTATCTACACTTATTTACACATAGAAATAGAACAAACTAGAGAACAACAACGCCAAGGCATGGTAAATCCCATCAAACATTTAATGAGTGTCCGCAAACTGTTCGTAATCATGTCTCAAAATGGAAACCACAGATGTATTACCAAAATAATATGTGTCATTCTTGTATACTTATTGAGCAAACAGAGGCAATATCTCGTCGTGTTCCAAGTTCTTGTACAATGTAATGTATATATCAAATGTCAACAAAGTCATTCTTTTACTTTTCGAGTTAAAATAATTGCTGCCACGTTTTTTAATGAGCTAAAGAAGAGATTTTGAAATAAATCACTATCCTATATAATTTTTGCATTAAAACATATTAATAATATTACAGTATCATGTTGTAACTAAAATACTGTAAAATCAACACTAAAATGGTGGCCATTTTGAAATTGGTGGCCATTTTGAGAATTGGCTTTTTGCATAGAACTTGTACTCACAAAGTCCACGTAGGACATATACATATAAAAATAATGGCATTGCGCCAACGGTATACAAGTTATTGCATAAACAGATGGATGGATGGATGGACAAATGGACAAAGAGTTGTCTATATCCCCCCAAATTTTGTTCGATGGGATAATAACTAAATTTGCACCAACTTGCACAATCTATAGATATATAAAATATTGATTTTAAATGTGTTTTGTTTATGTAACTACTTTTTTCAAACTAATGTTTACAGAAAAGAAGGTTGCACAATTGTTGTGATGTTATATGTTCAAGATTGCTGCAAGCAAGCCAAATGAATTAGTGATTACTAATTTTACTCTTTGGAATTTGAATATTTACATTCATTTAGTCTTATATACAGATACACTCTGTATCAAATATGTGTCACATGTATCTACATGTAGTATTAAAGTAAGCATCTGGCCCTATATACGAGAGAAATGTCAAATGTCCGAGCATAAAAACTACATCTTCTTTTTTCCAAACAAATTTGTTTTCCCAGACTATTGGGAAATCATTATTTACAGTCATGGTCTTGGACTTTAAATCACAGTAGATTAAACTGAATGTGTGTGTTTTGTAACGTATTTACAGAGGCTACCACTAGGTGAATCCCTAAGTGTTTCAAGATATAACTACCCTGCTATATCACTTCATTGCTATCCTCTACTCTCTCAGTGGGACCTGAAAGTAGACATTCAAAATATTCATGCTGTACATGTATGTTGCTACACTTTGGACAAATCAATTGTGGTTATATTAAATCTACCTTTTCAGAATGAAATATTCAATGACATATTTCAAAGCTAAATATTCATTTACATATTTTTTGCTGTGCCAAGTTTCTATAATCTTTATAAATGAGCTATATTTATCAATTTTTATCAATCGATCTATTGTTATTAACTGTTATTATATTGATAGTTTTGTCTATTTACTTTTTTTTATCAAATGCTGCAATTTTCCTGTACACTAGACTACACAAATATTGAATTGCGAAAAAATAAATTTCTAAGTATGGAACCATTCATTGGCAATACAGTTTGTATACAGTTCATTTCTATAAAATTATAATTTATAAAATACTGCTACATTGCTGAGATAGATGGCATGATCTAAAATGGGTTTCTAGATATAACTGTAATACTTGATTTTAAAATTTTAAGTTTTGAAAAAAGTAAAAGATAATTAATCTTTGGACATTCCTCAATGTGAAAAACAATTTTATTATTCCTTTATCTGCAATCCTTGAGAATTGACAAAAAATAGGACATATATTTTCCATAACTTAGCAATACCCCCTCCAGAAAATAAATAACTCAAAATGTTGCATAAACAGAACAGAAATTCTAACATGAATAGAGCACTTTTAACTCATTAAATCGTCAACCTTTCAGTTATCTGATACAGCCAGTTGACAGATGTGGACCATATTCAAACAAATACCCACCTGTGATTATAAGTGGCTGGACCATGTAGCCACCATGGCGTCTCTTGCAGCAACTACAGCATTGACAGATGTGGACCATATACAAACAAATACCCACCTGTGATTATAATTGGCTGGACCATGTAGCCACCATGGCATCTCTTGCAGCAACTACAGCATTGACAGATGTGGACCATATACAAACAAATACCCACCTGTGATTATAATTGGCTGGACCATGTAGCCACCATGGCGTCTCTTGCAGCAACTACAGCATTGACAGATGTGGACCATATTCAAAGGAATACCCACCTGTGATTATAAGTGGCTGGACCATGTAGCCATCATGGCGTCTCTTGCAGCAACTACAGCATTGACAGATGTGGACCATATTCAAATGAATACCCACCTGTGATTATAAGTGGCTGGACCATGTAGCCACCATGGCGTCTCTTGCAGCAACTACAGCATTGACAGATGTGGACCATATTCAAACAAATACCTACCTGTGATTATAAGTGGCTGGACCATGTAGCCACCATGGCATCTCTTGCAGCAACTACAGCATTGACAGATGTGGACCATATTCAAACAAATACCTACCTGTGATTATAAGTGGCTGGACCATGTAGCCATCATTACGTCTCTTGCAGCAACTACAGCATTGGCAACAGCCACAGCAGCCGCAACAACAGCAGCATGTACATACAAGTATAATAACCAACAGCAACCCAATACCTGCTACGATGAACACCCACTTTTGGACACTGAAATATAAATACAGTGAAAACTGGTATTGCCTTTAAAGAAGCATATTTTCCTGAGATATGGCAGCCATTTTGAATTTAGCATTCCTTTTGAACAGAGTCCTACAACTGGTATTTGAGAAATGAGGAATGATATTTTTAATGAAATAAGCCAGCCATTTTAAATTTAAGAAATTTTCTTCTTGACCAGATTCCTATGTCCCCAATTCATCAGTATGTAAATCTTAACCAGATCCTTCAACTAGTATTTGAGATATCATTTACATTTTCACGATGGTGGCATTTTGCCTATATTAGGTCCATGCAATATGAACCAAATTCATCAACAAGTATTTGAGTTATCAAAGATTACATATTCTAAGAGAAAAGGTTGCCATTTTGAAATTAGGTGGCCATTTTGGATCAAATTATCTAATAGATATTGAAGTTTAGAGGAGCTTTTTATACACTGCGTCCCAAAAAGAGCAACGAGCAAAAAACATTGTAAAACCACAAAACCAGTGATGACAAGTACATCAATTTCATTTAATTCACCATGAAGCCATATGTCTCCTCTTTCCAATTGTATAAAGGTGCAACTCTTAATTGCTTCAATATTGGGAGATTATTCTGCGTTGTCTGTTGTCAGAAAATACATTCATTAGTGTTAGTTCACCTACCACATTTCACCAACATACAGGCCATCACACTCAGGTTGACAAAAATCAGTGTCACAGTAACAGACTTCTCCATCAACATGCACATCCCCGAGGTCACTAAGGGAGGAAAGCACCTTGCTGATGACACCACTGGCTTCCTCATTCTTATGGCACCCCATGGTGGTGTCACTGTCTAGTAGTGGCATACATCCTCTGATGACGGCATTAACCTCAGCTGTCATCTCTGAATAGGAATACATAAAACATGTATTGAAAATGTGAACAGGATATTAAAAATTGTCACAATTTTATGTAATAAAACAAGGCATTAACATGACAAAATGTCACCACCTAAAACAATTTGGTCAATTTAAAGCAAGTTGGAAAATACCTTTTGACCTTAAGAAGAACTTCTGAGAACATGTAGATGATTTTGAAAAAAAAATTAGTCAATTTGAAGCAAGTTGAAAAAAGACCTTTTTGACCTTGAGAAGGTCATTGAAGGTCATTGAAGGTCAAAGGTCAAATCTAAAGTCAGATTTGAACTTCTGAGAACTTGTAAAGTCAAATTTGAACTTCTGAAAAGATGTAGATGATTTTGAAAAAAAAATTTGGTCAATTTGAAGCAAGTTGAAAACAGACCTTTTTGACCTTTTTTTACCTTGAGAAGGTCATTAAAGGTCAAATGTCAAATCTAAAGTCAGATTTGAATTTCTGAGAACATGTAGATGATTTTGAAAAAAAAAATTAGTCAATTTGAAGCAAGTTGAAAAAAGACCTTTTTTGACCTTGAGAAGGTCAAATGTCAAATCTAAAGTCATATTTAAATTTCTGAGAACATGTAGATGATTTTGAAAAAAAAATTTAGTCAATTTGAAGCAAGATGAAAAAATACCTTTTTGACCTTTTTTGACATTGAGAAGGTCATTGAAGGTCAAATGTCACTGGGGGGTATCGTGATGCAACAACACCGTGTTGTTGCATCAAGATGGCCAAACTTCCGGTGATAGATTTTCGTACGATATTTTGTTTTCCCAATTTAAACCCATTTCTAGGACGAGTTGCTCAATAATCATACACGTGCAGTTAGCTCATGATCTATATTTTAAAAAGCTCTCATTAGTATGCATGTCGCATCATCAAGAAGCGAGAAATTCGCGGTTTTAATTCCTCACTATTGATGCAACAACACCACTCTGTTTATTATCGATGATGCAACAACACCAATGCTCTGATGCAAAAACGCCAATATAATTTATCATTGAATATCAAGAGAAACTGTTTTATGTTCTGTTTATAGGTGTTGGTCGGGACATGAATAAAACGCGTGAGTGCGTGGTTCATGAATGAAACGTATTTTGTTTGGTTCCTTAATGTATTTGTCTTTATCAAAGTTAAAAGGATATACAAGTTAAACTAAATACATAGGATAAGTATTGAATCCCCGGGAGCCAACCTCATTGATATTGTATCCGAAAAATAAAGATTATTCATTTTCTAAATTAAATCCCCTTGGTTTTAATGTATCGTATGGAAATTGTTTACAAAGAACTAATATAACTAGACTTTGGAAATTCAGACTCCAGATCTGGACTTTTTTAAGAGAATCATCCAGAAAAAGATTGATGGATGGATGGATGAAATAGGAAGGAAGGATAGGACAGAATAGGATGGAACGATAGGAGAGAATAGCGAAGAAAGATAGGATAGAATAGCAAGGAAGGATAAGATAGGAAGGATAGGAAGGAAAGAATATGAAGGATAGGAAGGATAGATAGATAGGAAGGAAAGGATATGAAGGATAGATAGGAAGGAACGGATAGGGATAAAAGGGATAGGAAGGATAGGATAGAATAAGAGGGAACGATAGGATAGAATAGTAGGATAGGATAGGAAGGATGGATGGAAGGATGGATGGATTTTTCAACATTTTCTTCGCTGCTCTTGACTTTCTATCAGGATACCATGAGATCGATTTTTCTCGAAATTTCAAAACGCCATAACTTCCGAACCGGAAGTCGGATCGAAATTTGGTTTGCAGATTCTGATTCCTGAGAAAATTCTATTCTTCATTCATAACTCAAACGTTAAATTTGGAGAATTTTTATCACACCATCGGTGGGATATAGTCGTCATACTGGTCGTGGTCGTGATCGTGGTCGTAATCGTGATCGTGGTCGTGATCGTGATCGTCCCGCTTTTTGTCATCGCCGTTTAAGGAAAACTGCTCATCAGATTTTCTCCAAATTCACAGAGATGATAGAGCATCTGAAGTACTAGAGCTGATTAACTTTTGGGTGGCCATCTTGTTTTCTGGCGGCCATTTTGAAGGTTTTTCGAAAAATCTTGTCATCGCCATTTTAGGAAAACCGCTCATTGGATTTCCTTCAAATTTACACAAATGATAGAGGATATCAAGTACTAGAGCTGATTAACTTTTGGGCGGCCATCTTGTTTTCTGGCAGCCATTTTGAAGATTTTTCGAAAAATCTTGTCATCGCCATTTCAGAAAATCCGCTCATCGGATTTCCTTCAAATTTACACAAATGATAGAATATATCAAGTACTAGAGCTGATTAACTTTTGGGCGGCCATCTTGTTTTCTTGTTCTTGAAATTTGTAAACATAATAGGAGAACAGTTTTCCTGGTTCATAGTGTCTGCCTATTTGATGGTGTGATCTCGTTCACGTCCTGTGCCTCGTTTATTTTGACCTACTTTTTTGACACCATATCTCAAAAGTGGGTTAAAATACTTTCTGACGGCAAAAGGCTAACACTTTTAGTACACTCTTGGCTACATGTATACACAATTTCGAAGAATATAATTGAAGTGTAGTGTCAGAATCACAAAAATAAGGAAAACTTTGAATTTGACCTAGATTTTGACCTAGACATTTTTGTATCCAAATTTTGAAGCTAGATTGCTTTTGAGGTACCTTTCATTTAAAGGCTTTCATTAAATTAAGCTGTACCCGGTCGTATATATGTCGTATTTTACACTTCAAAAAAATATTTCCCATTGACTTAACATGGGGCACCAAATTTAGCGATTAGCGCCATAACTTCCGATGAGTGTTGGTTTAATGATATTGCAGTTATACAATGCTATTATATAGAGGTATATTTACTGAGAGAGATTCAATATTGGTTTTATTCCGGGACACATTATGATATTTCCCGAGGGCCCAGAGGGAATCTGGGATTACTGTACCTCTATCAATTTACCTTTTTGGGACCTAAATCCTATTACCTACCTTTTTACTCAATCGGGGAAAACGAATCAAAAGAGAACAATACTTCTACATGAGCGCCGTGCAAGATTTCCAATAGCTCGTCGTGTTTACCGAGAACGAAAGATGTTTGTCCACCATTTTGAATGATACTAACTGGTATCAGGGTCATCAAGCTATGGAACAGGGGTTTATGATAATAGATTGGGTTACTATAGCTTGCAATGTTAAAGGCGATTGAACTATGTTATAAAACAACTTCCAGTACATTATGATATTTAAAAGTATAAATTTTTGAAAATACATACAGTATAAAGAATCTTCGCCCGCAGGACGCGTATTTTGAATGCCTGAGAAGAACGCAAATGGGTACTGGCCCGGTGTTGCAATAGTAGCATTTAAAAATCTGTTCCTCTCGAGATTTATGGTCTTCTAAAATTATACTATTAATTGGTGTTGTTGCATCATTGCTCAAATCTAGAGGAGTGTTGTTGCATCTTCGGGTTGGTGTTGTTGCATCAATAGTGAGGAACTAAAACTGTGAACTTCTTGCTTCTTGATGGTGCTACATGTATACTAATGACAGTTTCTTTAAATATAGATCGTGTGCTAACTTCACGTGTATGGTTATTGAGAAACTCGTCCTAGAAATGGATTTAAATTGGGGAAACAACATATCGTAAGAAAATCTATCACCGGAAGTCTGGCCATCTTGATGCAACAACACGGTGTTGTTGCATCACGATACTCCCCAGTGAAATGTCAAATCTTAAGTCAAATCTAAAGTCAGATTTGAATTTCTGAGAACACGTAGATGATTTTGAAAAAAAAAATTAGTCAATTTGAAGCAAGATGAAAAAATACCTTTTTGACCTTTTTTGACATTGAGAAGGTCATTGAAGGTCAAATGTTAAATCTAAAGTCAGATTTCAATTTCTGAGAACATGTAGATGATTTTGAAAAAAAAATTTAGTCAATTTGAAGCAAGTTGAAAAAAGACCTTTTTGACCTTTTTTGACTTTGAGAAGGTCATTGAAGGTCAAATGTCAAATCTTAAGTCAAATCTAAAGTCAGATTTGAATATCTGAGAACACGTAGATGATTTTGAAAATTTTTTTTAGTCAATTTGAAGCAAGTAGAAAACAGACCTTTTTGACCTTTTTTGACCTTGAGAAGGTCATTGAAGGTCAAATGTCAAATCTTAAGTCAGATTTGAATTTCTGAGAACACGTAGATGATTTTGAAAAAAACATTTAGTCAATTTGAAGCAAGTTGAAAATAGACCTTTTTGACCTTTTTTTGACCTTGAGAAGGTCATTGAAGGTCAAATGTCAAATCTAAAGTCAGATTTGAAGGTCAAATGTCAAATCTAAAGTCAGATTTGAATTTCTGAGAACATGTAGATGATTTTGAAAAAAAATTTAGTCAATGTGAAGCAAGTTGAAAAAAGACCTTTTTGACCTTGAGAAGGTCATTGAAGGTCAAATGTCAAATCTTAAGTCAGATTTGAATTTCTGAGAACATGTAGATGATTTTGAAAAAAAAAATTAGTCAATTTGAAGCAAGTTGAAAACAGACCTTTTTGACCTTTTTTGACCTTGAGAAGGTCATTGAAGGTCAAATGTCAAATCTAAAGTCAGATTTGAAGGTCAAATCTAAAGTCAGATTTGAATTTCTGAGAACATGTAGATGATTTTGAAAAAAAATTTAGTCAATGTGAAGCAAGTTGAAAAAAGACCTTTTTGACCTTGAGAAGGTCATTGAAGGTCAAATGTCAAATCTAAAGTCAGATTTGAAGGTCAAATGTCAAATCTAAAGTCAGATTTGAATTTCTGAGAACATGTAGATGATTTTGAAAAAAAATTTAGTCAATGTGAAGCAAGTTGAAAAAAGACCTTTTTGACCTTGAGAAGGTCATTGAAGGTCAAATGTCAAATCTAAAGTCAGATTTGAACTTCTGAGAAGATGTAGATGATTTAGAAAAAAATTGAAGTCAGTCTAAACAGTATTTGTTAAGTTATAGGAAGTTGTAAGAAATTGTTACAGACGCCGGACGCCAGACGCCGGACGCCAACCACCAACGGCTGTCGCAAAAAAACGGAGACCATAACAATATGTCACCACTTTTTGGTGGTGACATAACAAGGAGTTACACAAAAACTGGATAAAATAACTAGATAACAGCAACACCAAGGAGTAGCAAATCCCATCAAACATTGGTGCCACATAACACTGCTCAAAACCATGTTTCGAAATGGCAACCATATACTGTATGTATTGATGGAACATGTTTAACAAAACAGAACACTCTGCTACTTTTCTAGTTAAGCAAAAACTTAAAAATAAATTAGACATTCAAAATGGAAATGGCTTCCTATTAGCCAAATAATAATAATATGCTTCCAAGTACATTTTTCCAAAATTGTCATTAGACAGTGTAATATACTTCCAAGTATTTTTCTAGCATTTACATAAAAGATTTCAACAAAATGCCATGCTTCTAAGTATTTGCTCAACTACTTTTTGAGTTACATCAAAAATAAAAAAATAGCTTGAAATGGCAATCATTTTTCAATATGGCGCCTATGTTGTTTTTTAAAAATTAGATTTTGAACTAAATCAATATCCTTTAAATTCCATTTTGCATTTAAAACTGTCTCAGATCTTGTTACAAAGTACTGTAAAATCATGGGCTTTCAACAGAACACTAAAATGGTGTCCATTTTGAAACAGAAGAAATAATAATCACCTATTCAATTCCTATAAAGGACATTTCTTCATCCTATAACTTCAATAATTTCTTCATTTGATCAGATCTCTTTTTTCAGTTTTTTTCAAGTTTGATTTCAAAAGTAAATAAAAATGGAAACCCTGCATTTCCTCATATCTTAGTCATTTTAGGAAATTACTCCCTGATATTTCACACATTTGTACATCATTCACTTTCCTACCACCCAATCATATTTCATGACCATGAGACTGATAATCACAATTTTACAACACCTTGCACAACATGCTTGACGTTTGGGCATTATCCCGCTATATTCAAATCTGCACAGTTGTCAATGACCCAAATGCATTCCTCAGTAGGTATGGCCTGAATGACACAAATGATCTCAATTTTGAGGTCTGCAATTGTCCCAACATCATTCTCATACTATCTTTGCCATATCTCCACAGGTAGGGACATCTTGGACAATGTGTGCAGGTTTGCTGAAAGCGCAATACATGTAGTTGCCACTGAGGCATGTTCTTAAAGTGCTGTAACATTGTGACTATCAATCTGATGGTCATGAAATGTAGTATGCTGGTAGGAAATAGAATGATATACAAATGTGTAAAATATCAGGGAGTTCTTAAAATGATTAAGATATTACTTTTTTTACCACCCTGTATATACAGCATAACCATGATCTTACTTCAAGTAGCATACAGTATAACCATAAGAACAGTACAAAATACAGCAGGTTGCACAATGCTGTAAATAACAGAAAATTGCCAGGATACAATACTTAAGACTTTCTAAAGGAAGTACATCAAAAATGGAAAGTTAATCATTAACATTTCACATATCCTTTAAATAAAAAGTATGCTATCAGTGAACGTAAATCAAAAAGTTGTGGTTATTAATTGGTTATCAGCAATTAACAAGTACTAAGTTCAAAAGTAATTCTGAATATATAGAGATTAATACACTAAAAGTGTTTACTGTTTATCTTAAATTTGGACTTTGGGTGATCAGAATAATATTTTTTCTGATTGATTTTAGTGAAAATGATATGTTGTGAAAACACTTTCTGGTGGATATTTTGGATATAATATGGTTTCTATAGCAACCTAGAAAAACTAATATTAATGAAACTTAGAGTAAGAAAATATGATTATGAGACACCAATCAACACTAAATAATATGAATAATATTGTATAGTTAGATCTTTAATACCTGTGCAGTATTTTTTGAATGACCTAACTGTAATAATGCAGGTCTTATGACATAATAATGCATCATTTGGGCTGTAACATCTGACTATGAGGTTTTGTCAAGGTCTACTTCTAACTTACACATGGTAACTTACCAATCAAGTGTCCCTGTATAGATCCCATAGAATAGCCACAGACTTGACCAGACTGGCACTCAGCTGAAGAGGTAGGGGCATTCCTACAACTGGGGTCAGAGTGGCCTGTAGATGAAATCAGATCTGAACTACCAGCTACATCCACACATTGATAGCATTGTAGACTCTTAGCTGAAAATGGCAAAATTCAACTCATTACTGTGAGTGTGAAATGTTTCCATGGTAACATATATTCATTCCCATGGTAACTGAAACTGCCAAAAATGGTAAAAGTCATAAAATGTTCACATTTCAAGTCCATGTGAAGCGAACACTTCATTTACTTCTTAAATTGATGGTTACAAAATGTTGGAAGTCTATTTATTTGTGGGTGATATTGCCAGAAATGGTGAAACTAGGATCATCCACAGTAAAAAAAATTGTCTTGAAGTTGTCAAACGCCGACCGCCGAACACCGTCCAGGTCACAACTTCTGTTGGTGACATTTATGATAACTGAAGATATCTGATATCTCAATCTCATGGTGAAAATGGAAAGGTAAGACACGTGTAAGCAAGATCTAATTTACTCGAGTCTCTAGCCAAAACTTATGGCCGAAAAATAAGGTAAGATTTAATAGTCTCATTTGCGTTTCCCCAATCCTTGCATTGTTTATGGACATAGCTATACATGTATTTCTAGTCTACATACCTGGATTTGTCAAGGCTGCAAGCATAACGATCCCAAACGACATTATAACCACAAATCCCATTGTGATATTTCCACAGTTCACCAATGCCTTGTTCAGTCCAGAGGAATAGCACACTAACATTTGAATGCAGCTGTATTTTCAACTTCTGGGAAGTCACGTGACTAAGTAAAGTTCAATATTAGTCAATGAGGCTATAAGAAATAGATTCTTCGTTTTACTTCCCAAAGTATCATAACTTGAATAAAACAAAAAATATCACACATTCTGGGAATAACATTAGTGTTATTTGACCAACCAGTGACGATGATAGTGGGGGTGTCAATCAGGGTTCTGGTGTCCGACAACTTAAGACCATAAATCAGGGGTTCATCTTTAAGCTTACGGTGACTCGCATGTTCATATTTGAAGTCAGAGTCCAGCAGCACTGTCTCCAAGTAAAAATGTAACTGATACTGTAGTGACTGTGTAGTATTTTATTGTTTCCGGTCCCCATTTCAATCACGCATTTTAATTAGATGTTTCAATTAATATGTACATTAATTAGTAGTTTTGTTTGGTGACTTATTCCCCATTCTTATACTTATCACATCTTTCTGCCTTCAACAAGAACTATGATCTGTTAGAGAGAAGCTAATATAATCAGAACTTGCCAGGCATGACTTCTCACAATGCTTATTCCACAGTACATTGTACATGTAGTTCATGCCGGAGAATTCTATGAACAGGCGATTCTTTCAAGATCTAAAGATAGAGCCTCAGTACAGAATAGTCTTGCCCGAGTCGGTCTCTTAAACTACTTATCTTGATTGATTGATTTGATTCAAGATCGGATTAGTAAAAAAGAAACCGACTTGGCCAAGGCTGAGTGCAGAATGTTAGGGATAATTGTGACAAGTTAATATAACAGTATACTTGTTTCCTTTTACATGAATGATATGGAGTAAAATGTCATTTGGCTACCACAGCAAGCGTAAAATGTTAATTTATAAACCATCCATGCATCTATTTTATCTGTTTCATTTCTCTGTATATAAAACGCACAATATATTTACAAATTGCAAAGGGAAACCTACCTATACCAATCAAAATTTGTTCAACTTCTCATAGAGTGAGAGATATTACCGGGGGGAAATTACTTTGAGCTGCTGCCTTGTGCATAAGTTTTTGAACCACTCCAGACTTTCAAAAGAAACCCTATGACCTCCCCAATGATATCGTTGATGTATAAATATGTGTTTGTACCTGTAGTCACTACAAATTGGTATGTCGACCTTTTAAGAGCCATAATCGATTTAATTTAATTTCCGAGCCGAAACAAGCTTGGGTTTTTATTTCACTGGTACTTTGTGGTGACATAAGCTTACATGTAGTCTCGAACTTTTTTTGTGGACTGTGTTCGGCGATCGGTGTTCGGGGTCTGTAAGGTGATGACAATTCACATGCTTTGTTATCAGTTGTCATAATTTTTGCCTCCATACGTTAAACAAAGTATTTTCTTTTTATGGCCCAACTCAATATTGAGCAAGTTTACCTATACTAGCCTTTCTAATCTATAGATGGCATCACGGTATAAACGATGTACTTTCAGTCTTTTCCTCTTTAATCTGAGTTGTGCATCTCTTTGCATGGTGTGTCGGCGGCACAACCCTGTCCCCATCCGTTCGCAAATGTCCCCCCCCCCTTTGGGAATCCTTGGGACGGTCCTTCTTTGCAGTATATTTTTTCTGACACATAGGTGATAGAGAGTGGCTAACCTCACTGGGATGATAAAACCATGGGCTTTCAATTAGAGTTGGAAGCCAATGGATGCTAAAACTAACTTGGATTTATTCTAAAAAACTTTCAACGTCACTATAAATTGAAAGATAAGATTGCCTTGATTAAAATAAGATCTAAAAATATAGAGGTCGCAACGGTACTGAAAACCGTACCGGTAACCGTCACGCTAATAACCGTACCGTTACCGAAATACCGGTAAAAATATGTAAGATGAAATGCCAATGCGCTGCCACCCCCACTTTGTTCCTAACTCTCTCCGTAGCTTCTCAAGTATATATGCATACACGGTACAAGACCAATTTGAACCCATACTGATGAACTTCACGAAATAGTATATAACTATCTCTACGAATCAAGATGTATTTTTAGTTTTAAATTACATGACGACCAAGACGAGCCAATTGAACAATTGGGCAGCTATTTGTCATCAGCATCCAAGTTTATTGACTGTCTTGAGTTCTCAGAAAGTAAACGGAGGAAAATATCCTAATGTGGCGAGTTTGGCTGAAACATATCATGCTATTCCTGCGTCATCCGTGTCAAGTGAATGCCAGTTCAGTGCAGCTGGCAACACCATCACTTCCAAATGGGCACGACTTCAACTTGAGGTTGTCAATGCCTTGTTGTTCGTAAATGACTTTTACAAACATAATTCAGTTTCTGGATCTGACGTTGACACTACAACTACACCGGAACTGTCAAACAAAACTACAACCAAATCTGAGCCTGAGTATGAAGCTAATACACCCGAACTGCCAAACATGAACATCACACCTGAACTGCCAAAGATGGAAATCACACCTGAACTGCCAAACATGGACATTTAAACGTCTTTGTAAATCTCCGCATCGTGAAAGTTGAAATTAAACGTAATAATTAAAAAAACGACGTGTCTTTTATTTCCCCGGGGCTTATTGTCGGTTAACCGGTTAATAATAAATCTAAATACCGATAAATGCTCAATTCCGTACCGAAACCGTATAACCGGAATTACCGTCAGCCTCTATAAAAATAACATTTTCTCATTTAAATATTTTCTCCTAGACAGGCCCACAGCCAGTTAATTCAAAATCATGCAGATTTTCAACATTGTGAATACTAGATTCAAGTGATTTTAGGCCTAAGTTGTTATATGGGAACCTCCCTGGAATTTTGGGCAAATTGACTCCCCTTGGCAAAAGTTGGCTAACGGACCTGGGCAATTAAAATATGAATGACGTCATGAAAAAGACTTCTTTTAATTTGAGACAAGTTTTAATTTATTTTCTGGATAAATTTTATGAGAAAATTATGTTATAACTATGTTTGAATGAACAATACATAGCTAGATGGTGTAAGTAACTACTATATTAATTGTTATGTCATATACTTTTGTACCCATAAATCTCAGAGGCGTATCAGTCAGGGGGGGGGGGGGTGCGATCGTCCAAAAATTCGGTTTTCAGTGCGATGGCACAATTAACAAGCCAAAAAATTAAGATTTATCTTGAATTTTACAAAAAATGATGCAACTTCGAATTCCTTCAAAATTGAGCTAGGAACTTCGAATATTTTAAAGCTGTTTTCATCTTGTGTCTCATGGTTATATTTTCATTGGTTACGATCACACCCATATTTTTGGAGGGGGCACGCGCGCCCGGCGCCATTCCCTAGATCAGCTAGTTGGTTTGGGGAAAAATAATGGTACAGTATTTCAAAACTTTTAAAACTGTTCCATGCCTGAGAAAGTAGCACTCACTGAAAATGACACTCACTGAAAATGGGGGGGGGGGGGGGTGCGATCACACCCATCGGCTACGCCTATGAATCTTACATGTATACATTTTCTAGCAAACGGGTATGTATTTTTCTTTGAGTTTGTCTGGTGACTTTTCTGCACGATTGTGATTTTGCAAGAACCGGACGTCTGAACTATTGATTTTATTAGGCATTGTTCTTCACGAATGCAGCTGGCTAAATGTCTACAGAATTACAAAAGTTTAATATTGTGTACCCATTGACTGTTGACAACTTGACATACAATGTATGCATCCGTTGACATTGACGTTCATGATATCAATAATGCAAATAATCAGTCTTCATTTGTTGTTTTTAATTTAGAAATATGGTATCACAGTTTACAGTTCGACGTTTCCAAAGCTTGAAATTAACTGTTAGTTTCTTGCTTGTAATCATGTTGATATATGCAATATACAATATATACATTAAGAAACATAATATGATGCAGCCATGGATAATGAAGAAACATCGTCGCCGAGAACCATCTGAGGATAAATCTAATAGCATCCATCTCTCGAGGAAAACATGTGACGTTATGCTAAATATTGTAACAAGCTTCCCAGATTCATTGGCAAACGAAACATACCTTGCCAGTAGAGGATACGCACATGAGAAAACAACGAATAGACGCGACAGACATATTGAATACCTGTATACTTTAAAAAAGAACATGGAACACCCGTGTGTTGAGCAGATACATTTGTTGGTGGAATCAGCCGGAATAAAACAATCAATCATAACTCAAACATTGATCCCGATTAACCCATCACTTGTTGACAAACTCCTCACGTTTTCAGAAATAGTGGATAGACCAACTTTTAAAATGCTTGTCGAATACGCATCCAAGAACCTAATAGGCAAGGTAGTGGCGTTTCAAAACGCTGATATAATAATCGGTGAAGGATTTGAAAATGTTAAAATGCAATACTTGAAAGACATGAGGATTTTTTATTCACTGAGTAGACAAGGAGCAATGGACGCGACTTTGTGCCAGTCGATGAACTTTTGTGACAAGTATGTCGGAGCTCACGATACTTACATGCTATACTTGGATTCCCCTTTTAACCAAAAGGTACTGTCACTTTTGGATTTCCCTATGAACGCCTGGGGTGGAGAAAACGTCTTAATGTATGTTACCCGTGAATTCATGCACTACAAATTGATGAATCCATGTAAAGTTTTAAAGATTTACCACCACCATTGCTCCAACGTTAGATCCTCTAAACGAGACCACGTGGACAACAAATACTCGGCAATGTCTGACCCAGTGCATTCCCTTTTCTAGAATTCATACAATGAAAGTTTGCGGGGCGTGCGATCGCCTTAAAATGCTTTTTATTTGAAGCTTCTTGCTCAATTTTGAAGGAAGTTGCATCAATTTTTGTAAAATTCAAAACAAATCTTTAAAAAAATCTTAATTTGGGTAGCTTATGCCACGATCGCACCCCCGCCTTACTGAAAACCAAAATTTTCTGGCGATCGCACCCCCCTGACTGAAAGCTGGCTACGCCCTTGGACAACTACTCGCCAAAAATTGCAGACAAATTATAAAATACATGGGGGTTGATAGGCATAAAGCAAAATCATTTTGGACATTGAAATCTACTTTTTGAATAAAGTTAATGACACGGTGTCATTGATTTGTGCATTTGTGTAATCATTTTAAACTAAAAGAAACAACAATCATATTGACAATCTTTGAATGAGGAATGTGATCTGAAGACTGAAAGACGTTCGTACTTTTGACACATTACTCTCACGGCCGGTAATCGGACAAAATAAGTGGTGGGGAGAACTTAGGAGGGCTTTCCTGAGAACGTGATTAGAGAGGATGAATCTAGATACATCCTTCTTTAAATACTGCATTGACTGTCTTTGGGATCCATGGCTTGGAGCCCCATCTTGTTGGAAAAAGAAATTTAAATGATTCGAAAATGAGCTCGAAATCATATCAGGAATCCTCCATCCCTAATCACTGTTCCACAGATGGATGACTCTAACTGCAGTTAGCTTCATTCAAGATGGTTGCAGAAATTCTTTCGTTTTCGATAAACCTCCAATTTCAGCTAATAAACTAAATTGAATCTGGATTCAAATTTTTCGCCATGCAAATTAATCAAGCGACGATGGTAAATAACCACAAATAAATGCTCAAACAACCGCGCGTTCCTGGAGAATTTTTAAGAAAGCGGCTTCATTTAGAATGATTCTATCTGAAGTTGATAATGACGTAATGATGAAGTTGAAGTAGATCAGCTTTTAAAATTCATATTTGAAAAGAGCATAGTGAACTTAGGGGAAATCTGCTCTTACATGTAATTGACCAAAATTGGAAATTAGAACTTCCCCATGAACGCATGGGGTAGAGAAAACTTCCCAATGTATGCCATCCAAGAAATCATGCATTACAAGTTGTTGAACTCGTGTAAAAGGTGTTAAGAAATCCAAAAATTATCAGAAGATTTGAAACTATTGTTGATTTTATGTGATTTCAATGTTTTTAGCATGCTGTGAGTGGTTATTATTATTCCAGGTGACAGATTTTCTAACAGGACTAAAACGTTTTCATATATATATATACATGATAGAATGTGACGTTTTTGAGAAAAATATACACACATGAAAATCCTTTCGTCCTCCACATTTACCTCTATATCTCAAAACATTTTAGACGAATAACTCTGATATCATATACACTCCTCTCCATAAGTTTGGCAACCTTTTTTCCCCCATTGAACTACGTGTTAAAGCCTCTTTACCTTTGAATTTTTATTTACTTAACCTGCGATGAAAATACTTATACTATTGATGGAAACGTAATTTGACTTTAATTCCAAAACCTCAAAATTTTCTCAATTTTTTTCCTCAATTACAATAGGTCGAAAATTGATGATAAATTTGATGAATTATTGAAAATCGTCATTCCCATGTTAACCAATGGGAAATGGTAGGTTTGCCGCAAGTCATATGACAGAATATCCATCCAACCGAGTCCTTGCAAAAAATACAAGCTAGGCAGGCAATTGAATTTGCTTACTTTATTTAACAAAAAATTGATATGTTTCTTCAGGTTCAACAAAGTTATAGGGCTTTAAAGTCAAAATTGTTTTTCAAAAAACCTCTCCCATTGAAATAACACAGGAGGCGAAAAATTATTTTCAAAAATGACTTTGAAGCACTGTAACTTTAATATTCATCAAATAAACTAAACACTCAGTGTTCAAAAAAGTTAGACAATTCAATTTTCTATATAAAAATATTTTTGCTGAATCTTTTACTGAAAAGATATCCTGATTTCTGATTTGCCCCGAACCCTCCATTTCCCATTGGATTACATGGGAATGACAATTTTCGAAAATTCATCAAATTTATCATCAATTTCCGACCTATTGTAATTGAGGAAAAAAATTGAGAAAATTTGGAGGTATTGGAAATAAAGTCAAGTTACGTTTCCATCAATATTATAAGTTATTACATCACCGGTTAAGTAAATAAAAATTAAAACGTAAAGAGGCTTTAACACATAGTTCAATGGGGAAAAAATGTTGCAAAACTTATGGAGGGGAGTGTATATATTGTTAATGGGCTAGGAGCATCATAAAACACGAATCAATTGATATTTTAGGTGAAATAAATATACGTGTTGCTGTGCTTGAAAATAGGCGAATGGCGTAAATTAGCCCTATTTTAATGAATTTTGAAAACCTTTCGTCCTCCACTTTTCCACATACAACAGAAAACACATACTTTTGCGAACAAAATCAACTATTTATTAATAAACTATAGTTTAAGAGCAAAATAATTATGTATGATTTATTAAAAATTGATCTCGTATTTTTGTTTAATGTACACCTGAAAAGTTGAAGGTAACAAAAAATGAGCAAAAAAGGTCGCTGTCAACAGATTCTATTTTTCAAACTCTATGACGTCACAATATGGGACGCTTACTAAAATTCATCCTTTGAAATAAAACTTCTATCTAACTTTATCAAGACGAAAAATAAGTATAATACTCATATATTGTTTGAGTTATGAGCGTTTAAAGACGAAAAATAGTTCAAAATGTAACGTGTCAACAGGGGATATTTGCCAGATGTTTTGGTAAAAAACTCTTTTTTAAAAAAGAACGCGCAAGAATTCTGAACGGAGTGTAGTTGATCTAAAAACTTCATCGAAACAGCTTTAAAATGATATATAACTTTAATTAGAATATTATCTTATAATCCGGGGAATCAAAGTTACATTCACGCGATACCCTTAAAAAACAAATGCGCCACCTTTTTGCGACACGTCATATGAGCATCTCTATTTCTAAAATGACGTCATCGATCTGTAACTCCCAAGAAGATGTAAATAAAGCATATTATAATAGACGTATAAGAATCGTGTTCTTTCATTTCTCGCCCCGAGCTAATGATTTAAGAGCATGCTAAAAGCACAATTTAAAATTTGCCACTTTTTCACATCGATTACATAATTTGGTATTAGGAGTTTTTGCAAATATGACTTTTTTAGAAGAAAAAATGTTCATCTTTGATTGCTTTTATTTTCCCACATTTGGTTTTGGTGCATGTTTAACATTTATCTAATCATAAGCTATCCATAATGTTGTCCTAATATTGACATCCATTTGTAATGCATTGCATTCAATGTAATGATACATGCATGGCGTCACAATGATCTAATTCCTCTGGCTGTATGCTGTAGTGTAGCGTTCTGTTACTATGGTAACGCATCTTTAGCATTTCATTGGTTCTGTATCTGCTCTGATGCAATGTGTTACATATCGCTGGTTCTATATCTGCACTGATGCATTAGGCCTGACGTCAACCTACACGGGATCAGGATACTGGAGAAGAAAAAACAGATTGAGGTGTGGGAGGACAATTTTTATTTAGGTTTTGATATGCATGGTCTTTTTCAGCCTTTGTATGATTTTTCAAATTACTATTTTACTAAAGTGAAATATTACAAGTATCATAAAACAAATAAGTTATTAAAAAACTGATTCATCAAAAAGTTCATTGGAAATGTATTTTTCTATGTTTTGTCTAAACGGGACGGTGAATTTTCTTTATTTTCTATAAACAATTTATCGTATATCATTATATCTAGTATCAATTTCAAGAAAATCAAATTATGTCATTTTCCCCATTGAGCTCCAATATAAAAATGGGATTTTCAAATTTAATATTTTAAGATTCTACGTGGTGAAAGATTGCATATTCTTGTTATGGTGTTACATATTCAAAACAAAGAGGAATAAAGAAAAATTGCCATGGAGAAGTAAGTGAAAAATGTCTTTAATTTTTCAGACAAGATCTTTTTAATTGAATAAGTTAAGCCCTGAAACTATTTTTTGCACATAAAGACTTCTTGCCCAGATGTGATTTTGTGCGACTTAGCTATACTGTTATGGGCAAGTTCATAAAAGTGAAGAGTTGATGACATCACTTCCTGTTTGAAATCTTAAAAAGATGGCAGCCAACTAGAAAAGAGGACTAGATTTTTAAATGATCAACATTTCGAATTGACCATATCGAAACATTTTCCTGTGTTTTTGCTAAGGGAAAGAATATATATGGTTATAGCTGCCATATCAGGAGAGAAATAGTCTAGCAAGGAATATCGCTTTAAAATCTCGCAGATGCAAAAAATATATCTTGAACGAAGATTGTATACACTCACAACGGGGAAGATTCATTTGCAACTTTCACCGACTGTCGTCTGCTATGACCAAAGCGGAACAACCGAAAGGCAATCGTACATCTCTGCATGCGCAGATTGCAGCCATTTCTATAGGGACATGCTGCACAGTCAACATGAGTTAAACAGGGTACATTGAAAGTCGTCGCTTGACATTCATATCTGCAATAAGAGATTGTGTTGTTAAATACATGACAACATATATTGCTTCCTTAATGTAGCATTTTCCCGAAAAATATTCAAGGCCTACAGGGTGCCCAATAAATGAAATGAAAGATACTGTTACTTTCTTATAATGCACCAGTCTTAAAAGTATCACTAGTGAGCAAAGCTGTATGTAAGGGGCATTGTCTTTGTGCAGCAGAAACTTCTCTCCTGGGTGTGATGTATACATTTTTATGAGAAAAGATATCTTAATGAAATCATATAATTCAACAAAGAACTATTATAACATCACATAAGTCACCATCATATCACCATCAACCATATCACCTTGGTAACATATATGTATGCATCCAGCGTCAGTTTATTTCGTTGTTTTACGTTTCAAAATTCATCATTATCTTGGAAAATATAGGATGACTGTAACTACAATTTCAAAGTGCCCCGCCTTTTTGATGTTTCAGTTGCTATGGCAACCATACTCGTATCTGGTCAATCAAATGGGAAAATGTAGAAATTTACAGAATAAAGGTAAAAAGGTTTTGGGTACATACCCCCAAATTACATTGGTGCAATATTAAGAAAGCTACAGTACAGTATCTTTCATCTTGTTTATTGGACACCCTGTATAACTTAAATGGACACCTAAAAACAAATATTTTATTCTATTGAGGTCAATACATGTGCATCTTCCACAGAACCTATTGGAATAGCAACATCTGAAATACACTGAACGAAATGAATTTGTTTTAAAAATTCCCCTGAGTGGTGAAGAGTGAATACCGCTTTCATGACACGTGACCTAGTTTTTAACAATCATACAATCGCAAGCTTGACAGTTTAATAACATAGAATGTCGTATTGTTCCACGGAGGACTATTACTTCTTTTCTTCAGAAGTCCAGGATTGCTACACCACCAGATGTGATGATAAATTCATGTTCAAATAAATCATCCACGCGAATCAAGAGAGGTTAATCTACCCACCTCAGTGATTGGTCCTGAGAAATCCCTTTGCCATAAACGTCTTGGTCCTCTTCAGCTGTAGGCCATATTGTACCAGGCCTAGAGTTGTGCCTCTCGTGTTCCCCTTTATGGCCTGGTAACCTCTTGTTTACAGCATCTAACGATTCCGGGGCACTGTCAGCTTTCAAATATGGTTGTGACAGAATCAAATAAAATTTCCTGAAAAGGATTATATAGTCAACATACAGTTTTTTATGCCATTGAAAAGAATACATCCAGTCTCCTTTGGATCTATCCTTTTTGTCATTACCCAGCTCATGAATGATAAGTTATTAATGAAAATCATTATATTTCTGTTTGCTCAGATATACTCATTGTCGGCGAGTAGGTGAGAAGAAGGAACAGAGACGAGTGTAGAAAATTTCGAAAAACGTCACAATTTTACATTTTTTTCCATTCGATCATTATTTTCTAAACGGTCTAACAGTTCTGAAATCATTTAAGGACCGTACTAGTTCAATGCAAGTGCCATCCACTTCTATGGATCTGATATCTGAATGTATGTGCTGCCACTAGTCATTTTTTGATAATTATATAAACCATAGGCGTAGCCAAAAGGGGGGGGGGGGGTGCGATCGAACCCCCATCCCCATAACGAATAAAATTCGACCAGTGGATAGAAAAAGAACAGAGCTTTAAAATGCTTGTTATTTGAAGCTTTTAGCTCAATTTTGGAATACGTTGCATTAACATTTGTAAAATTCCAAACAAAACTTTCGAACCCCCACCCCAAAACGAATAAAATACAACCAGTAGATAGAAAAATAGTACCGTGGGTACTGGGCTCACATGGTGTTGCTCAAAAGTGAATGATGGCTAAAATGGCAGATTTTTTGTAACAAAATTATTTCATACATCTACTCTTTACAAAAACATAGTATTTTACTATGCAGGACACCTGAAATTATTTGTAAAGCTAGGAAATTGGCCAAAAGTGAATTTCCCGGGACAAAAATGGTGGCCATTTTGAAAATAGGCGAGCTTTTGAAGCAGGAGTCACAAGTTTTTTTTCTTTATTGATGTTGACCAAAAATATTTTAAAACGGGAATCCTATCTACAGAGGATTTAAAAAGAGCCAAGTGTTGACAGACAGAGGTTTTGAAAATTTTGGACTGAGAGACAGATGGTCAAATCAATGTTAACTAAAATGGCTGAAAATAAAAAAACGGATACGATTTTTGCCGATTTTTTGTAACAAAATTATTTTATACAACTAGCTCTTTACAGTGACACCTGAAATTATTTGTAAAGCTAGGAAATGGGCCAAAAGTGAATTTCGCGAAACAAAAATGGCGGCCATTTTGAAAATAGGCGAGCTTTTGAACCAGGAGTCATTAAGGAGTTTTTTGTATTGATGTTGAACAAAAATAACTTTAAACGGGAATCCTATTGACAGAGGTTTTGAGGCAAATGGTCCAAAGGTGGATTTCGCGAGAGAGATGGAAAAAAAATGGCTGAAAATAAAAAACTCGATATAATTTTTTGCTGATTTTTTGTAACAAATTATTTCATACAAATACTCTTTACATTGACATGGATTTTTACAATGCAGGACACCTGAAATTATTTGTAAAGCTAGGAAATGGGTCAAAAGTGAATTTCACAAGACAAAAATGGCGGCCATTTTGAAAATAGACGAGCTTTTAAACCAGGAGTCATAGGGGAGTTTTCTGTATTGATGTTGAACAGAAACAACTTAAAACAGGAATCTTATCGACAGAGGTTTTAAAACGTGCCACAATTGTTGACGGAAAAATGGATTTCGCGAGACAGATGGACAAATCAATGTTAACTTAAATGGCTGAAAATAAGAAAATGGATATAATTTTTTGCTGATTTTTTGTAACAAAATTATTTCATACAACTACTCTTTACATTGACATGGATTTTTACAATGCAGGACACCTGAGATTATTTGTAAAGCTAGGAAATGGCTCAAAGTGAATTTTTTTGTGGTTGCTTATGCGCTCGCACCCAACCCCTGACTGAAAGCTGAATTTTTTGGTGATCGCCCCCTCTCCCCGACTGAAACCTGGCTACTCCCCTGTAAACCATATTTGTTTTAGTATGTCGGGTCCGAATATAGATGATTCTTTTCGATGTAGGATTTAACTGGTATACAAACATGATATTTTAAAACAAAACACGATGCACTTCTCATATGGGGATTCGCAAAGATGGCTGTCAATTATGTTATAATGTGATTTTATTTGTCTATTGTCAGCTTGAAGAAAAAATGAAAAGGAGCATAATTAAGAAATTGGTATTACGTCTGATGAGGTCAGATCTTTAAATATCTGGATCGTTTGTTCCGGAAGGAATTTTTACAGAACGGCCTTCTAATTTGACATACTGTACTTGTCGGGCCAAGATGTCGAATGAAAAGATTAAGTATGTTTTGCATTTTTTGCTTTATGTTCTTTAAAACTAAGTCGTGGCCAAAATGATAAGTCGTGTACTTACATTAACAATAAACACATTTACGGTCAAGCCAAGTAACTTAGTCAACATTCGATATTCGTATGTTCATCAATATTAACTAAGAATGGTGCCACAATTGAAGTAAACCTCTGTTTAATTATTTTCAATTAACCTATCAGCAAACGTGTAAATGATAAATTTGATGTTCTGTTACATATTAGTGAAGCAATCTTGGGGATATGGCCTAAATTTCTGAATTTCCACTATGTCCCTGTATACCCCTACTTCGAAAGATGTATGTTATTGGTCATTTTTCATTATGAATCAACCATTATGTATTTTTTCTTGTTTACATACAGAATGAACTTTCTGTTTTCAAATATTGAAAGATGGTACTGCATCTATTTTTTCATGATATGGAGCAAACAAATGCGTGTCAATTTACACTGTAATATCCCACATACTTATATTTCAAGGGTAGTTTTGAAGAATAATCAAGAAAATCCATGTTTTCAAATGAATTCATCCTTGTTAAAGAACGTAAATGAGGATGTGCGGTTTGAAAAACTAACAACATGTTTTAAGTTCTTACAATTCTTGGTTAAAACAAATATTTCGAAAGTTGTGATTTCGAATGTAATATCCAACTCAATGAAATTTGTTGATATTTGTGAATTTTTTCTTTCGGAATGCACATTGCTGGATCACAGAACATTGCCTCTTCCGAGATGCACGAAAAGTGTATTGCTAATACTTGGCGTCGTTCGGATATTTGGATGTGATTGACGTTTTTGTTAATCTCCAACCACTGTAACTTCCAACTTAATTTTTGAAAGCCAAATATGATAGTCACGAATTGATATTTAAGTCACACGTTGATGCATACATCATGTGTGTACATTAACTGTCAAATGCATGCCGACTTACATTTGTATAAATATCCACAGTTAACTCAAATCATCAACTCTCGAAACGGTTTATCAAATAATCTGGTGAGTTTAATGTTTCATTTTAATTCATAATTATGGTATCGGATTTGAGTATGATATTAGTCGAGGCTTAAACAAAGCAATACAATTGCGTGAAACCTTTTGTGAAAATTTGAACGATTTTTCAAGAATCCTCCTTCAAAGTGTTACCACAGTGCTCCCCGGGAGTAGAAATTTCGTCTTGTGTAATCAAAATAATAGCGGGTGGTTTGAATTTTTGTTTGAGTTTATAGCCTAGCATCTATAAATTTAAAAACGTGTCGCCTCATTGAGAGGTACATGCAGATTTTGGCGATCTATCATTCTAAAAGGCTAAATTTTGTGCAAAAACAGGAGTTGACACGCTTACATTTGGAATTGAAATTTCCTACATAATTGTCGACTCATGTTTAAAAGTCATGCAAACAAGGTTGAACACAAAACAAAGACCTTATTACTGTCTATTTACCATGGGATCACATAGGGAAATATTATTAATGACTTAAATCGTTAACAGTTTAGTTGTATCCCAAGAGACTTATCAATTTAGAAATGCAAAATGTTCAATTTTGTTTTTCAATTATAAAAAATGGCACCTAGAGAACAACGTTTACAAAATTATTTAAAACGGAGATATTTACTTATGTAACATTCGTTGGCATGTGTCAGCGAGTAAACAAGAAGAATATGCATTTGATTCTATATCTTGTTCCCAAAGGAGTTTGTTAAGGAGCGGTATATCTTAACGTACTTTTATCATCTCGAACTCAAATATTTCGAATACTTATTTCGAGAACGCTTTGTTGAGAATGGATTCGAGATGTACTCAAAATTAATACGTTAAAATGTGTATTATCGTCTTAATAACCACCTCACAAATTATTTTGGAAATCAAAGATGTACGATTTTTTGACTTACTTACTCGGCTTGACTGATAATGAATGATGTAAACATTCTGTATGCAAAAATAGAATTGCATAACCAAAAATAGAATTGCATAACCTTTCTGAAAAATAAAAAAATATTAAAAAAGGAGGCAGTTGTTCAAAAGGTTTCTTACTGTCCAAACTCGCCATCGATTTGATAAATTAACCCGCTTTACAATTTTTGTAAATTAGAAAATATTCCTCAATACAAACCTGTAATTTGAGTGCGATTCCTCCGGGATGTCCTGGTTTTCGTTCGTAAGCTGGGTAAAGTCATACGATGGTAACCGCATGGGCCTGACAGATATAACTACCATGAGCCAAATGATAAAACTCAAATTCATAACGTTTTAAAAACGTCTCTGTATTATTGTTATTTTCAAAGAATTTCCAATCTGATGTATCTGTCCTCTCACACGTGATTTAATGGGAGATATTCGTACGACAGTATATTTTATACCAACCTAAACTTGTCACTTCCGTGACACTTGTCATCGTGGTAAGCCACGCCCTCTCCATCTCTATCCTTCTAGATCTGCTATGCAACAACGAGAGATGCTATGAGTATCAGAATGGACACTTGTCACTTCCCTTCTTTTAATTAAATCGACGCGTAGGTAGCCCTATTTCTAAATAAATCATATAATGGCGACTGCAAGGTAGGGGTAGCTATGGACATAGAACCAACGTTTGAGACATTGTCGAACGACATTTACTGTTTCGGCAAACTTGGAAATGTGCTTCACGGTGTGGTCCATTTGTGTTATTTGGAAGGGATACCTCATCCAATGCATTCTACGCCTTATCCACATCCGCTTGATCCCATTATAATTAGCAGTTCAGAATGTCACACCTTTTGCAAAACAACATGATCAATCCTTTGTGACTTGGTCTAATTAAGATGGTGTTAAAAATAAAAGCGTTTGTAATCAAAGTTGGGTGTTTGTTTAAAGGAGAATGTCGTCATCGTCTACTTGATATCATTTTAATGACGAAATCGTCATGCAATAACACTAATTTCCATCATTGATAATTTTTTGTTTTTAGAATCAACTGAATCTGAATTAGTCGTCGTATTTCGCCGTATTCTTGTTTTATGGCTGGTATCGAAGTGCTATCCAAATATACATGTATGTAACAATTAAAATAGAGAGATTATTTATGTACGTATAATAAGTAAATGAAAGGTATCCAACCCCTTGGATATCTGCAGTTTATAAAGATAGGTCAAAACAGAGATTCAGTAATATCATTATAGGGATGACAGATATTCGCAGGATGCATGCCTTGTCAGATTTTGATTTAAACGATTATGTAAGTTCAACAATACCCGTAGAATTATGTTTATTGAAATCGAATTCTCATGTTATTTAAATCGAAAGGGGATCTGGCAGAAACGAGCTTTTTATCTAATTTAAGTTCATAACGCTTTTTGAAAAAATGTAAGGGCCATTTAGTACTTCATTATGTATTTCTATGAATGAGTTATGACTGTATGTTTCCAATTCATTTGAATATTTATTTTTAATCTCAATGTATGACTTACCATGATTCCATAACCTATACGTAAATGATATTATGCTAACCTTGACTATTCAGAGTAAATTTGTAAACATTTTAATAAAACAAAAAAGTTGCTGAAATCTTAACTTAAATGCATTTCTCTCGAAACACAATTTGCTGTACTTTGTTCAACATCAACACTTAATGGAATCAATTTTAGCGATTCAATATTAAAGTCAAGTTTCTGTGACACACTCATTGTCCGAACACAGGCCTCCAGAACTCGCACCTCCTTCTTCTTTACTTCTATTCTCCTTCTTGGAAGAAGGAAGGAACTTAATAAGATGTGACGTCTGGAACCCTGCGTTCGGATGATGTTACACACTTGGCCATTTACATATGTATCCATGGGCATGGCATCTGCATGTGATGCCGTGGTCACATTTGCTCTGATTTTCAGGACCGGTTTGAAAGAAATTATGTTCCCCTTTCTTAAAGGCCCTTACTGGCCCTGATTGTGAATAAGATAATGAGGGAAAGAGTTGTACTTAGGTCACCATATAAATCAATGGAAAGTAGGACCATAATTTGATAGGACCTCATACCCTTTTACACCGGCGCCCGGCCAATGAGTATTTTGTTAAAAATAAGCAAGGGACATAAGCAACGTCTTATCTTATCGATTGTTTTTTGTTTGCACATGTAGTTATAACTCAAAATGCATATTGATTATAGAATCTGGTAATAGTATTTTTGTTCCTTTAACTCAACATCTGTATCCTTTCACAAGTTTTTTTATGTTAAATACAATTAAGATTCAAATAAATATACTTGTGTACACTCCTCACAATAAATATGGTAAGTTATAATAAGGACATGGCATTATGATTTATGAATGAGAATTAATGACGCATAAGCGCATGAGCATGACGTTCATAGATTATGATTTTGTGCATGGTTCAAATAAACAGCGTCTTGGTTGGTGTCTTGTTTGAACGAAACCATTTTTACGCCAGTGTGCGACCATTGTTAAAAATAGATTATACTGTACATATGTGTATTGTTTAATGTTTATTGTATCTTTATTTCCCGTATCAGAGATACGGAGCAAAAACCAGTTTATTACAAATAAAAAAGTATGAGATCATAATCAAAAATACATCGAAAATACATAGAAAAGAAGAGTATTTACATATCATAATTTTTTAAAGAGACACATCACATCAGCCAAACTGCCCAGAAAGGCCTCTATAAATACATCTGAGTCTGCATCTAAACGTTTAACACAGTTTCCAGATCAATGAAATCTATGATCTCTTCACATAGTTTAAAACAATCGTGTATAATATACTCATTTTGACAATTATAAGGGATTTCGAAACAAATGCGTAAAGTGCAAATGATTCCGCCCGATCTTCCAAATCCTACATATCTCCAAATTAATGTGTACATTTTTAATATAACATATTAACATGTTTAATAATACGTTTGCGATAATGTTTGCATCACTGATCGTGGCTAATAAACACCATTTGGAAAAAATAAAAGTAATGGTTTTAACTAGCTTCTTGGATGATTGATAGAGAATTTGGCTTCAGACATCTTCTAGTACAATAAGCGTCCGAACGGATGCGTTTGGGTAACTATATTTGAATACAGTAGATCAGAAAATGTAACCGACAACACGCAAGTTGCTTGTAATTTCACTGTTTACAGTTTTGTTTGAATCCAATCGCATGAGATGCGATAACCTCATATACACTAATTCTGTCAAAGATTAATTAAATCAAATCATATTAAATCAATTTAACTTAGGAATGATAGTGCCCTGTCCATATTTCATATTTGATTTAAAATAGCCAGGTTGATATATCGTGAACTCCAAGTAAACGTTAAACGTTAGATTGGTTAATCCAGTGTAAATGAGCATAACCCGGTCCTCATAATCCGAGTTTCACTCAGTTTTACTTTTGTAAACAGACAAGGTAAGTATATTCTTCTTTTGTTCATACTTTTGAACATTTTCCACTCATTTTTCTTAGACTAAGGATGGTGTTTTAAGCACGGGGATTGTCAATCGTGTCATTGAAGTCATTAAGTTGAGGTCGTAATTTATTGATTTCAAGCTATTTCAATTATTTTTTTGTTCAACAAAACGTAGTTTTGCACAATTTGCCACATAAAATATGTAATATTTCACTAAAAGCTATGTGTTCATTGACAACATCTTAATTGATCTAGCTTTTGCTGCTAAAAATGAAATATCTTCAAAGTTTTTAATCAGTCTCAATTGCTACAATCGGATCCATGACCAATTATACATGGATCCTCTCAGGAAAGAGTTTTCCTATAGAAAGCCATGAACTGACATTTGAGGAATTGATCCAGTTTAGCAGTACTTTCTACCATTATGATGCATTTTTATATCTTTGTATTCCATTTTTGAATGACCGTGTCTTTCATAATCGGTTTTACTCATAACAGGTTGGTACTCCCCATGTTAATGTATGTTAGCCAAGTCCCAATGACAAGAATGAAGGTGGTATTTGTATTACATGCCCTAGCTTAGTAGACTTAGTAACCAACATGCTGCGTAAACTATTTGTAAATATTATTCATCCTACAGTTAAATTTTTATTGTTGCAGTTTGACAAATTTTGACATTAATTCGTTGATAGCCCCAGAGAAATGTAAAAATGTTCCAAATGTATTGTTGGTGTTGTATTTACATATACGAAAGTACTGTTCATTGTACATGAAAAAGGTTAATGTGAACTTATTCAAATGCATAGTCTACAATAGGTGATTGACAACACACATGTTTTCAATTGCACCAGCAGTCATGAATTATGTACTGGGGATATATTCTGCAATGACACTTTTTCACGGTAGGTTTTAAGTAATTTTAAGAGGTTATCGAATAATTAGAGCTTTTCAATGTTTTGCACGATATATTTAAAGTTGCAGCTTTCTTTCAGAGTAAATAATTTGTGTCAAAACAATTTTCACAAGATCTACTCAATTTATTGCTTTTTGTCTCCTTTACCTGTTTTTGTTCGGTTAGAATCGCTGTAGTCCGTTTATGTCGGGAGACATTTTTTAAATCACTGTGACTTTCTTTCAATCAATCAGCCAATGTTTAAACCAATTACGAAAACTTTTCTAACTTCCCCATCTGTTTTAAATCTTGTGAATAAAGAAAATATGCCTATATTCCTATGCTATATTTGCATGTGCATTTTTATACTATTTATCTCTAATAACTATGCAATCTGGTGTCTGTTTATGACGGCAAACATTATTAAACATAGGGTAGAAACAATACTTAAACACAACAGGGATATATTTACATTATACTGGATAATATGTTTTACGGGTTATATGTTTCTAGCCGCATATCACTAGCTGTTCACCATTTTAATATTGAATAATATTACATGTCATGGTCACGCCATGACAACAGTTTAATCAGTCAGCCAAGTCCCAACACTTTAATTAGAATAGGTTAAAGTGGAGCACATTTCAATAGGCCGCATTGGTCTGGCCTCGTTATTACTTATCCACAGCAGGATGATATAACTACAGTTAGCATCATCCAAGATGGTGGACAAACTGGTGACCTAATAGTCGATTATAATTTTGTTCTTTTCTTAGCATGGATGATGGTATCCTGCGAGGTGTTTTCCTCTACAAGCCAGATTCATCACTTAGCAACAGTAAGAAGCGCCATATTGGATGCCATTAGCAACAACGTAAAGACAGAAAATGACGATATCAAGAGGTGTGTACAATATATTAGAGTCTCTTACTATGAACCTGGACAGTGGTTGTCTGGGCTGTATTATTGGTTCTTCGTCCATTTATCCATCTAGCATTCTCCCTCTAGCTCGTCAGTTTTTTGTTTTTTTATTAAAATATTTATTCACAAAAATAAAACAAACATATTTACAAAACATATCAAGTATTTAATTTACAAAACATATCAAGTATTTAGCTCTTCAGCTTTTAACATAGTAGGTGATAATCCAAGATAAAAAGGCACATCAATGTCAAAAGGTTATTGATTATTCAAAAATTAAGGCTTATGTTTAGGACATAAATGGTCTGGGTCATGGTTCCCTGTCAAGGTCATCCATAAAGTATATACTTCTTGAAAATCAAGAAATGGGTTCCTACCATTCATAACCCGGAGCCTTGTTCAAAACAGCATTCTTCTGAAAAAAATGATTGTGAAGAGCATTTCTTGGTACTATACATTTTAGCTGGAGCTCAGAACTAAATGGATGTGGCTGTTTAACGACACTATTTGCATGTTGCACATGATATCCTAACATATAATGATAACCAACCTGCTGCCTGGGGAAGTAGATGACCGATTTATAATGACAGCGGCCGGTAATTAAAGTCTGTCAATATTGCAAACTCCTTACATTCTTGCAATGACTTCTCGGTTCCTTGATATTTTGAGCACTACGGATTTTTATCACACAAACCCATAACACTATGTGATTACCAATAGTTGTTTATTGGTATTCACTGTTTTGTGAGTGTAATTACAATAACCCGACGCGAGTAGGTAGTTACCAGTTTCACCACCAGGTGGCTAATTCGGGCAAGATAGCAGGACAGATATAGTAGGAATATATTCCCTAAACTTGCTGAATATTCTTCAGTTTAAGTGGATCCACTTTCATATAACCCTTTATGTCTTTGGCAAACGAAAATATGTCCAGTAAAGATATATCATTTATCAAATTAAAGTTGATACATAATTATGGATATATTATGTATATGTATTTTTTCATGTAGATTTCAAATATAATATCACTTTGACAAATTTGATGTATAATGAAACATATATTTTTAGAGTTCTTGACGTGTTCAGAAGAGATGTAGAGTCTTTAGAAGGCGTTCATGATGCATGGGAGTATGTCGGTCATCCCGTGTATGTGTATCATATGTTGAAACATTATGTTACATTATTCAAAGTAGCTGTTAATAGTGACAATAAAGGTACATAGATGAAAGTACTGATACGAAAAAGTAATTTACACTATAATAGGAAAAATCCAATTAGATTTACACATCTCACACAAAGAAATGATTGCTAAATAAAGAGGGCAGGCCAATCTATCGTGGTTGATAGGATTCTATCGCTGCTGCCATCTTTATATCGGTCACCAAACCCATGGATTTGCACGAGGACTCCCGAATCTTTCTTTCATGTGATTATACACCCACCCATTATATGCGTCTATTCATTACATATGCTCAATATTACAGCCGTGATGAATGCGCTTACTGAAGTACTCGGAGAGAGCCTAATCCCGACAGAAGAAGACTTAGTTGGCTGGTGTAAGGGCATCTTCACCATACAGAATATGTACAATATCTCCAGTAAAGACATAGCAAGCGGCCTGATTGCTGGTAGGGAAAGCAAGCCCCTCAACAAGGAAGATATCAAGTTTATTGCTGAAGTTGCACATTCATCGAAGAATCATCTGTTGTCACTAGAATGGGTAGATTTATGGTTATCGAATGTGGTTGAAGATTGCAAAGAACGAAAAGTATGTATACGGGAGGAGTTCCGTGAGGGAAAGATAGTTGCTGAGACCAATGACGTCCTTTTACTGAAAGCAAAGGCTTTTACGCAAGTAAGTAAATTTGATTACTCTCGGAGTGGAACTATATACGAATTAATTGTCTTCAATTTAACGCTTATACATTATATTAGATTAACATATCCTAAAGCTTGTTATGAAAAAAACGTATTAGATTATTTGACCATTGCGGTTTCAATCTATTTTAAAATAATACGTCATTATTTTCAGCAAAACAGTTCTCAAGTTATATTTCCATAATTTGTATACTTTTATTATAACTTTTCAGACGTCCCAATTTAGCAAAGCCGTGCATATACTTGAGCAGCTTGAGGAAAATGGTAATGCATGGAATAGTGTAAAAGCACTTATAGTAGCGTCACTCTTGATTTTTATGTCACCACCAGAAGTAGTGACATTCTGGTAGAGTCAACTTTTTGTAACCGTTGTTCGGCGTTTGGTGTTCGGAATTTGTAAGTGTTCGGCAGTCGTGTTTTGTAAAAATGTCAGGTGGTGACATCCCCTTTTATGAAGTTATTCATAAAGATATATGTTTCCGATACAATTTTTGTCACATTTTCAGAAAAATAAAACACGCATTCCTGTTGATATTGACCTAAATGATTACTTTCTGAACATGTTAAATCGTGATTGGCCAAGTGACATTTCCGAATTGTTGATGAAATTTATTTTTCTTCCCATTCCACTTGGGAACACAAACTTTATTGGATTTGTAACTGATTACTCAAATGATTTCCCATCCATCTCATACGAACTTTAAATAATCTAGAAGACGCTGATATTATAATTGTAGATCCGGAAAACGATGAGTTTTCTGATCAGATGTCAAAAACACGCAAATTACAATCGATGATACGAGAAAGTCCCGACGGCCAAAAACACATGAACAGTAGAGGGAGAGGCTTTGTTGATGCTGAAACTAAGTTAACAATCACAGAATTGCATAGAAGCTTATGTAGAGGGGAAGATCTAATGGTAATGTCAACTACAAACAGAGATTTTTTTATTATGTTTTAAAAAGGATGTTTCTCCTGCACATCTACATTGTCAACATATTTTGTGTGGGTGAGGCAGATGTTTCGATCATGAGTTGGTACTTAGGCCTGGGTGTTTTAGAATCTATTTTACTATAATCTGAGGAACAATAATCTACAATAAGCTAGGTATACGTAGATTAGTCATAGATATGATGATGAATCTCCTTTATTTTGTTTTAGAATTCCACAATGAAATCCACGCTGTTTTGTCGATATAGAAAAACGGAGACACCTTTTTATCAATTTAAGGAAGAGGTAATGCACGTAGAGCCTCACATCTCGATGTTTTACGACGTTTTATCTGATGATGAGGCACTGGCCCTGCAAATTGCAGCAGAACCAGATGTATGTATGTATCATCAGCATCTAAATTAGCTATAGTTACACTGGGTGCTTTTTGAGAATTAATATACACATCTTTATTGGCAATGCTGAAGAAGGGATCCTTCCACGTATTTCTGTGCATAAATTAATTCATTTACTGCCCTCATATTCAGTATCACAAACACTTCCATAGGCGTAGCCAGGAGGGCGATGGGTGCGATCGCAATAACCAACAATGAAGATAGAACCAGTAGATAGAAGAAAAAAAGCTTTAAAATGCTTTTTATTTGAAGATTCTAGCTCAACAAATCTTTAAAAAATCTTTATTTGAGGTTGGTTTTGCCACGATCGCACCCCCCCCTGACTGAAAATGGAATTTTTTGGGCATTCGCACCCCCACCTCCTGACTGAAAGCTGGCTACGCCCCTGACATCTCTTATATATACTTACCAACATATCAATTTGCAGCTGTATCGTGCTAAAGTAGGTGGGCCTGGGAAAAGAATGGTGATAGAAGGAAGAACGGCCAAACTGTAAGTACGACAAAAACGTGTATTAACCTATATAGCGTCCACATAAATCTACATTTGGATCCTGGATAAACTCCAAGGGTTATACTCTAATACATGGAATTAATATTACCCTCAGTAGATTCGAACACAAATACACGTATACCAACGAGCGGCGTCAACACCCGGATCGAGGTCTCAGTATTGGTGTAACTTATGAAAATACAAGGTGTGCCGAAAAATTGCAACTTTTTAAAAGGCTAGATAAGTATCATAACTTTATGATATTGACATATATGTCAATATCAGAATGTCATGGATACTTATCTAGCCTTTTAATTAAATAGTTACAATGTTTGGGCACACCCTCGGAAAATATCGACGCATCGATCATACTTAGTCAATCCCATGTATTCTTCTGAAAACATTGTGCCATGTGAAATACAAACTGTATTGGGCACAGCTTTGACTTTTACTCATTTAATAACTTATTTTTATTCAGTACATGGATAAAGGATGACCATCCAGATCCCACTATAAAATTACTGAGTAAAAGGGTGGAGCACATAACAGGATTGAGTACACAGTATAGGAAAAGAAAAGCAAGTGCTGATGCCTTTCAGGTATGTTATAAGAAATAAGTAAAATCAGGATAAAATACAAAACAAAATGTGCTTATACGTATAATACTGCAACGACCGAGTTCTTTTTCTTATCAGTTCACGTACCATTTGATGTTCTCATTATGTATTACATACCCAGCAAAGCATTTGTATTGAAGTCAATGGAGCTGAAGGTCGGCTATATATTCCTGTATAGCCGCCAAACCTTTTACCATGACAATCTTATGACGTCATCAGAACGTCATGTTTCATTTCTTCCTAATATCACTCGCACACAGACACGTGGCGTCATTGATATAACGTAGCCATGATATAAAAGTATGTAATACAACAGTTATGTCCGTATCATTGAATATATGCCTTCGGTCTGTCGTAATATAACCCTCGCAAGCTCGGGCTATATTGGTGACAGACCTTAGGCATATATTCAATGATAGGGACATAACTGCTAAATATTGACCCATGAACAACTCGCATTTGGTGGGCGTTGCCACATAAACTACTTTCCGAGACATATATCATCCGACATATATCTGTTTACATCAATGTTTAATGAAAATTTGTTTTTGTAAACCCATAATTACTAAGGTGGTCGATTATGGTATAGGAGGCCAGTATATACCCCATCGGGACTATCAGGCAGTGAGTATGCTGTACTTGTTCTCCAAGTCACATTTATATATAATATTATGTATATTTGGTATTTGTCTCTTAAACTGCACATATCTTTCAAATGTTGTTAATTTGGTCCCCTTTCGGGCCACATGTTAAAGCTAATATACATTTGGTGTTTACAACGTTGCCTTGTGTTCTTTTTCGTTCATCACTCTACTATACCTCTAGAAATGCATAAGATACTCTGTTTGTCTAGTTGTATTGTTTAGTATATTTTTGAAAGTACTTTATTACCACCTAACAGTCATCCGATAAACCATTCATAAGGCACAGACAAATAAAACCAAGCAGCATTATCATTACTAATAAGCCAAATGGGTTGCTCATGAACACCAAATACAAGGTATACATGTAGTAGAGTGTCCATATGTTTATCTTTATTTCAGCCTGCACAGTTTAAAAATAATCCTGAGATTGTAAGAGAATCGGGGAATCGTCTCGCAACATTTATGTTCTATGTAAGTATTTTCCATCATTGATACCTGCTAATCCAGCGAGTTATCAAAGTCTCCACACTCTTTAAAGGATAGGTATCGATATGGTGAACTAAATTCAACAATGTTTTTCTCTTTAACCAATTATTGAAAGCATTCTGTAAAAAAAACTGATCCTTTATGTAATGTTGACTGATTGACAAGAATTTAATGCGAAAATTATTTATATATATTTTATATAACTGTTTTTGTTAACATTTTTGTTTTTTAATGCAATTGATTTTCGTTCATTTCTACCAATTCTTGAGAATGAAATAATATGTCTTTCCGAACCTTGTTGGAACAAAATAGCATATGCAATATTTACTTCGACCTCTCAGTATTATAATAAGGGCATTTTGGTTGATTAAACAAAAAGTATTCAAAAAATTAAAATACCCCCCCCCCCAAATAGATAAACATTAACAAGAACCTTTTATTTCATTAACAAGTTTTTTAAAATCAAACAAAATTTCCTTTGTACAATTACAATATTGAGAGACATAAACACGACGAGAGACCTAAACACGTTGTGTTTATGTCGTTCTGTTCCAATGAGGTTAGGAAAGATGTTTCATTTCATTCCGAACATGATACCAAGAACCAAAGAAGTGTCTGATGTGTTTTCTAAAACAATATAGAGAAAAGTATATATACAAGATGTTTCAAATTATAAGATGACTTAGAATTTTTTGATGAATGGTTTAAGAGAAATATGTTTTTTTCACCATATCAATACCAATCCTCTGCAATAAAGTGTTTATCAACTTTACCCTACATCGCATTTATTATATCTTTTGCTGAATATTTTATATTCAAGGCATAATAAACTATATGGAAAGAAACTATATTGTACATTGCATTTATTATTTCAATGCTGAATAAACTATATGCCTTTGGATAATACATGATTATTCCTACAACGCTGAATTTAATATAAATTTATTTGTAGTTGACGGATGTAGAAGCTGGAGGTGCAACTGTATTTCCATATTTCAAAGTTGGAGTTTCCCCGGTTAAGGTAAAGTAACATCATAAATATAAGCGTCGCCATGTTTAATCCCCTCCATAAATTTCGAAACAAACTTCCACATTGGACCAAGTTAAAAACCCAATGGAAAAATGGCTCATTCTCTATTTTTACCATAATCCACGTGAAGATAATGCCTCAATGATATGTTTGTCGTAGAATGCTGCTGTGTTCTGGTACGATTTAGCACGATCTGGTCAGACAATGGCTGAGACGCTCCATGCTGGTTGCCCTGTACTACTAGGAAGAAAATGGGGTAGGTGAATAACAAGTGACCAGAAACTATGCTTGTTTTGATTTTATACAAACCCTTCTATTAATTTAGTACCCGTTTCATGTTTTAATCTTACTTGTGTTAAAATCAACAAAAATAAAGAGGCTTTTAATAGGTGATCCACCGAAATGGTACCTCAAGTTTTTATATTTTGTTGAAGTATATAAGACTGGCCACCATAAATAAATGAATGAACTAAATTAAACTATCAAAAGTCTAAACAGAAGAAATCGAAAATATGGATGACGGTTTAAAGGTATACTTCCGAATTTCATATCATTTTGTTTGATTTTGTTTTAGTTGCAAATAAATGGATACGGGAATATGGCCAAGAATTCAGACGACCATGTAGCATCGACAAGGACACACTTAAAGAGTGAATTTTAATTTGATTTTTTATATTTGTATACACTATGAAATGCTTAATGAAATAAATAATTGTGAAAAAATTATTCAACCACAACACTCTAAAAAAAGTAATGCCTATTTACTTAACATTACTTAAAGAGATTGATATTAACTAAATATATTACAAACGTGAAAGGAGCTTGTATTAAGTAATTAGCTTTCTAGTTTTTACATTAAACATTAATTACTTGAAATTTACTCCGTTTTATTTGGCATAAGTATTTCAGACATTTAATTACTTAAATATTTTCCAATAAATTGACAGTAATTCTAATAATTTAAATGTAATTCATCAAGTAATTCAGGCTCAACGTTGTACTTAAATTACTATTAATTACTTAATCTTATTGATGGATAACAAATGAGTAATTTAAAATAATTGTAAGCAAAATTTAGTGTACAAATTACTTGAAGAATCCATTGGAATCAATAATAGTAAAAACAGTAATAAAAAATAATTTGAGACAAAATCTAAAGTGCTAATTTATTTATTTTTATTTAGACATATGCTTTTAGAACAGCAGCACCCTAACATTAAAAAGCTAGGTGTGTCTACATTTATGAAATCACATACTGTTATATACAATTTCTTATTGCGTATAAGCCCCATAAGTCATTTCACAAATACCCTTTTACATCACTCAGAGCTGTCTTTCACTATATATACTCTGCATGAGAACACGTATACACATAATTCAGTTCCACTTGGTGAGTTTATAAACTATATCATTCAAACAATATGACCATAGTTAATTATCGATTATGTTACACTTTTGTGAGCTGACTGGAGATGGCGCCACTAGTTGAACAGCACACTGACGAGATGGCCTATCATCCGTCTGCTGGTTAATCCAGTCAGTCAAGAGATTAACATTTTTCTTCCGCACTACCTACCATTAAACTTGTATCTTATGCACATGTTACATATTTCTATATACTCTCATCACCTTTACCCATATTGCTACACGGCCCACACTACAATATTTCCAAATAATTTTCGCATTAAATTGTTGTCAATCAGTCAACATTACATAAAATACCTTGTTTTTTACAGAATGTTTTCAATGATTGGTTTAAGAGAAAAACATTGTTGAATTCAGTTCTCCATATCGATACCACCCCTTTGCAAAGATCTCTATTTTATATGAAGTTGATTAACATACAATAAATTAATGCTATTTCTATTTGAAATCAAGCTAATAAGAAAAATCTCCATCTTGTGTTATTCGATTATCTATAAAATCTACTCCCTTAAGGTTATAGAATATAAACTATTCTCACATCTCAGATATATGCAATCATGGACATATGGGGGAATTTAAGAACAATAGACTCTCCCCTTATTATACTATAATATATTATACTACTGACGGACGGGGCCCTACTGAAAATGTAAAAGTTATGGAATTTCACTCTCTCAACCTTTAGCACATACCCCAGACACCAAGAATATATGAGGTGTTTGTCTGAAAAGTGGTCAGCGAATTTTTAATTAGCTATTATAGTGGCGCCATCTTTCCATTTTCTGACATAGGGATAGCTTGACAAAATAAGCACCTCATATATTCTTGGAGCCTAGGCGGTATATGCTAACGGTTGAAAGAGTCAAATTCCATAACTTTTGGTAAATGCAGTACTTCAGTAGGCAAATTCCCCATGTACTGTCTGAATAAAATAAAACTTGAAAAAGCCTGATTACTTTTGAAAAAAATACTCACAGTAAATGCAGTACTTAGTGGGCAAATTGCCCAGTTAGACCTACGTTTAAGTATATAAATACTTTACAGCAAGGTGGTGATGACTGTGCAATACCGCACCTGATAAATTATGCAACAGCACATAATTAAGTAAAAACAATGTACTCTAATACTCAAGAAAAGTAAATACAATGCTAATTAATAGGGTCAGTTTGCTAGATTTACTGTAAGGGATTACTTTTTCAGTTCAATGGTTTATTTGGATTAAGTAATATTAGATGAGTAATATAAGCAAATTGAAATACTAAGATATTTTGCACCTCATGGTGACAAATTTGAATCAATTTAATTACAAAGAATTAATAAAAATTATTGTACTAAATAAAACAATTTTTCTTAGAGTGAAGCTGGCTTGCAAGCCTTTGATTTTAACAGTCTGAAGAAGGTTCACTATTTTAATACCACACACCGTGACATAAGTATGATGGTGTTAAAACACTTTAAAAAATTGACAACATTAATTAAGAAAAGTGGGTAGATGTTATATTCAAAAGGTAAAGTAGTGAAAGCAATCCGGAAATGACTCAAATAATGGCTAAGAAAGAAATCCAGATTTCATGATTTGATGATTTCACCGAGAGCATGCCTGGACGGAAAATGTGAAATCTCCAAATCTGAGAGTTGTTGATCCTATCCAAGTGCAACAATCTTTTTTTCATTGAACATTCTATCTACACAAATAAAATCACGTATATTCCTTAATTATTGAGAAAGCTTTTCCGAAATTAGTGGGTGGTATATTTTGTGTCACCCTGTAAGTAACATTTGTTGTTAAAACGGCCACTTGGATGTATTCCCGGAAATTCATCATATCAATTCTAGAAAAGGAAATTCACTGGGTCAGATATTGCCGAATATTTGTTGTTCACACGTGGCTCTCGTTTGGAGGATCTAACGTTGGAGCAATGGTGGTGGTAAATCTTTAACACTTTACATGGATTCATCAATTTGTAATGCATGAATTCACGGATTACATACATAAGGACATTTTCCGCTCCATAGGCGTTCATGGGGAAATCCAAAAGGGACATTGCCTTTGGGGTAAAAGGAGTGCCTAAGTAAAGCATGTACGTATCGTGAGCTCCAAGATAACTGTCACAATAGTTCCTCAACTGGCAAAAAGTTGCGTTCATTGCGCCTTGTCTACTGAGTGAATAGAAAATTCTCATGTCTTTCAGGTATTGCATTTTAACATTTTCAAATCCTTCACCGACTATTATATCAGCGTTTTGAAACGCCACTACCTTACCTATTAGGTTCTTGGATGCGTATTCGGCCAGCATTTTCATAGTTGGTCTCCCCTTTATCTCTGAAAACGTGAGAAGTTTATCGACACGTGATAGGTTTATTGGGATCAATGTTTGAGTTTTTATGGATTCCTTGACGCTGCCTGATTCCACTAACAAATGTATCTGCTCAACACACGGGTGTTCAATGTTCTTTTTTAAGGTATACAGGTATTCAATATGTCTGTTGCGTCTCTTCGTCATATCCTCATGTTCGTATCCTCTACTGGCAAGGTATGTTTCGTTTGCCAATGAATCTGGAAAGCTTGTTACGATATTCATCATAACGTCACAGGTTATAGATGGTATTTGAACATTCCTTTCTGCACTTGGAATGGGTAGGTGATTCCTGATCCATGGCTGCAATGTATTATTTTCCTTTGTGCATATACCGTAGAGAGCACAAATCAGTATTATACAAGCAAAAACACTAATAGTTAATTTCAAGCCTTTCTGAAAACGTCGTCCTGTAAACTGTGCTGCCATGTTTTAAATTCAAAACAACGAGTCAGTACAGATACTTTAAGTGAGTAGCTCCCAAAATTACTTTCCAATTTGCCACATCACTGGTGATCCGCTCGATTACGCTGGTTACCGAAACGTTTTAACAAAATGTCGGAACGTCGAAGGTACGATTTTTCTTTTTTCCTTATTTCACGCGTCGAATGCAGAATCCCAGCGACATTTCTTCTCACAAACGTATATCAGTATTATGTGTTTTAGAAAATGTAAATGTTTGCGAAAAAATAGCTCAGAAGACAACAGAATTGTCGATTTGATTCCTCACTTAAGTTACATAAACGGTAGGTGGTTAAAAGTGCAGATCTTAACTGTTTGTATAAGTTTGATGAATCGAGATGAAACAGCAAGCCATTTACGATGTGAAATATTTGGCACATACTCGTACAACAATATTGTCAATGTGTAGCCAGAGACATATAACATTTAAAAGTTAATGTAACATATGTGGTACCATGGTGTGCCGGCTATGTCCTAGTATTTTAACATTGGCTAAAAGCAACATTGATTTAAAAAATGCCCTCCCATGCACGGAGTCGGTCTTTTTGGTAACATGACGACAGTGATACGAAACGAATGAACAATGGAAAAGGAGCCAATAAGTATATACATGTGTATCTCATACTTAAGTGGATTTGGGGTAGATATCACTCGGGAATATATATCATGTCTGAGGAGCGGGCAGGATATATTGTATTTGTCCCGCTCCAGGCCAAATGCGGGCAGATATAATATATCCATCCCGCTCACGGGAATTTTTCAAAAGTTTAAAAAAGTTTAAAAAAGTATGAGATACACCAGTTATGCACGGTCGGTTTGGATACATGGTATATCCCTCGGGATATTCCCTGTATCCAAAACCTCCCAGTGCATAACCCCTACTGCCTATATATATACTTTTTACTCTTAAAGAAAGTAAATAAATTATATAAGATATTGAAAATCCCTCAAACATATTGCAACAACCTGATGACAAATCAATAGTATGATAAAAACAGAGGCAAATGATTACTTCAATGGACACCTTGTGACGTTTGGCGACATAATGATCGAGTTTGGAGTTAGCAATTGGCATGAATCGAAATCACGTGTAATATCCGTCCCTCGATCAAGCCCTATTTTGGCAATAAATGTAATCCATGAGTTTTCACGAACAAACCATGAGTTTGTACGAACAATTTGCTCTGGTCACACCTGATCGCTTAAATATTTTAGTCCACATCTTGTCACGTAGTACACGGGTATCTAAAGCCCCGCTATGATTTAGAAGTCGCGAGCAAGTTCCCGCTGAAATCGCGAGCAATTAAAAGAAAAGAAGGGTTATCTTTTGTTTACTTAAATTATATGTTGTACAGAGCGTTTTCATTTCATTTTACTCAATTATTACATAGTATTGATACTAAATAGCAACTGCTGCAAAAATTATCACGACCTGATGTTCTGAGTTTCGTTATTTGAAAATTGGAGAGAGAATATCATCTTGAATTTTTATCTGTATATTTCTATATTTTATAGCTGAAGAAGAAGGTCGTTGCCCTTCAGTTGAAATGGTCATAATGATATGAAATAAATGTATTGTGAGTTTCACTTCCTAAATTCACAAAAAAGTATATAAATCAATTTTACCATATCCATCAAGGCCCCGCTTCTACCTTGAGTAATAAACTAAAGATCCCGCTGAAAACATGAGGAGGCCCCGCTGAAAACATGAGGAGGTCCCGCTGATACCAGGAGCAAATGTCTCTCCAAAGTGGAATGAAGCCCGGTTTTACTCTGCAAAACTGCACCGCCCGTAGCCAACGTAATACAGAGCACATGTATATCATATATCATTGTTATTGTTATTATTGGGGGGGTCGACCATTTCCCCCCATTACCAAAAGCTGGCTACGAGCACGATTCCAATAAAACCATTTCACTAATAGTATTTCGACCTGACTTTATCTAGAAAACCAAGAGAAGATTTAAATCCCTTCCACGACTTTTGACAAGTTTCAAGTAACTCTTTCTTCTTTGTATGCAATATATATTTATATTTTACTGAAGTTACAGTACATTATTTAATAATTTTTAATACTAATCGGCAGGGGGTCAGATGCACTTAAAACTGAAAATGAACATTTACAGTTTTACTTCAACTTGATTGAACTATTGAACCTCTGCACTTTCCAGATATACAGGGTGGGCCAAAAAACTCCACTTTTTTTCTAGGCACTACAACTTTTTCCAACTTATTTTTACTACCCACATACCCCAAATTTTGCAGTTATATAGTGCCAGGGGTTCTTAGCAATAATATAATATAACAAGTCCTTCAACTTGGATTATATTTGATCTAAAAGAGGAGTTCAATTGGTCCGCCACCCTTAGCTATTTGATGATATATTTCAGTTTTTTAGGAGTATCAATGAAATGTTAGCTAAGTTTTTTTAACCTGTCTTAATTGCCAGCTTTAGTTGAGCAATTTTCTAGATTGGGTGCCTTCATACAATCTCCTGGAGACCTTCCCATACCCTATACTCACTGGGGTTTGCATCAGGCCTGTTAGCTTTGCAATCATCAGGCCGTATCAGTTCAGGAACATTTTACAAATTATCGCTATTTCTCATGGCACACCACATGTTTAAGTGAGACGCTGTTGACATATTGTTGTTCAAGTAAAAGTGTATAATTCATGCTCCGTGACTAGATAGCAACCTCAAGTTTCATTTGGTATGCAAATTATGATTTTGTATCAAAAATGAAAAAAGTTATAGCATTTTGAAAAAAAGTGGCGTTTTTTGGTTGACCTAGTAGTATAAACGGGATCTTAAAAAGTCATCTTCGACTAGCTAGTGTACTACGGTCTCTCGGGTAGATATATTGTATTTCCCTCAGATATACACTGTATCAAAAACCTCCCATTAAATAACCTCTTCCTGCACTTATGGACAGATGTGCTGTTTGTTGATCCAAGGCTGCATTGTGTTTCTTGCTTGCTGTGCAGGGTGGGCCAAAAACGCCACTTTTGTAAAGTCAACCCTTTTTATTTACCAACCTACATACACCAGATTTTGCAGTTATATAGTGCCATGGGTCTTGGGTAATAAAATAATGGAATACGTCCTTGGATTGTATTTGACCTAAAAGAGGAATTGGTCCACCACCCTCTCTGGTGATAGCTACGTCTTAGTCGCCATTCTGATATAGCATCAGTATCAGCGAAATGCTGACTTTAGTTTCTTTCAACTTATCCTAATTGTTAGCGTTAGTTGGGCAGTATTTCGAGATTGGGTGCCTATATACCATCATATGGAGATCTCCCCATGGGCCCTATAATCAATGGGGTTTGAATCAGGACAATAAGATGGGTGACATTGTTTGTTCAAATATAAAAGTACAATTCATAATACATGGCTATATTGTAAGTTCAAGTTTCATTTGGTATACAAATTTTGGATCAAACATTTTTTTTTTAAAGTGGCGTTTCTTTGTGGCCCAACCTGTATATACCGCACATCCCTTGTAAACTCTCTTAATTTCATATTACATGGAACATGAGAAAATATTTTTATAATTGTTTTTTTCATTGTAAAAATAATTTACTTCACCGAAACAACGGCAGCAGTAGCTCCTGTATAGTAGCCCTTGGAGAGCATCGGTATACTTGGAGCCACGACCAAGTTCTGAGAGAAGTAGCCAGGCAAATTGACATCATAATCGCTTCCAGAACCTGTCCACTAAATAAAGAACAACGTATATGGATATATCATTCTGTGAAGAGGGTCAGAGCAAATATCTTTTATGATATATTCATTAAATCCGACTGTTGTAGAACATCTTTTAATTTAGTCACTATTTGTTAAGATCACCTGACATCATCCTCCTAAGCAGGTGTCTAGAATCCGTACCTCCTTCTTCCCCCTGCTGTAAGCAGTTAGCATTTCCCCGATTAAGAACTCGCAATTTGATTGGCTGTCGCAACACTGCGACAGATATCATGTATACGTCATCGGCGCATAATAAGATCACGTGATTCAGTTTCAATCGGGCGCGTCCAACTTGGTTATAGCAGGGGGTAAACAGTAGGAAGACACATTGCCTTAACCCATCAGTTTTATGACGTGCACATCCGCGTGGGACTATATCTTTACAGCGGGGATTTCAAGTTTTTGTCAGTGCAGACATAGAAAGTTGCGGTTCTCATATGCGCGCGTTTTTTAATATTTTCATTTGAAACTTGCAGGAACGGTGCTTTGAATCTAGCTCTCTACTCTTTGAAAACGTCATGTATAATCAATACAGTTGAACTATTTATTTTTTGTCGTGAAAATATTATTTTTTTAGTTTATTTTTATTTTACAACTTTTTGGGAAAAAATGTAACAAATTTTTATTTCATGTCATATTTATCCGATATTTTGTCATCATGAAATTCGAGATTCTTTTTAATGATGGTGCAAATTTCATAACAATTGATGAATTTTTATTATCAGTGTTATGTTTGCCAAAAACGGTGTACCACTGTGCATGTTTCTTTAATTGACGGCACATTTGCCTTTAATTGGGCGAACGTACGGGTCCCGACGCAATAAGCCTTATTTGATTTAATACACTCAAAAATAAAGTTTGCTATCAAATCAGAATGTTCATAAAACATTAACCTTGCCTTTGTTTTCCCAATTCTAAAAGCAAGCCAAATAAACGATGATAATCGTTTGACTCTCGAGACAACAGAACTTGAACTTGAACATGCTAAAATCAAAGTTACCTATAGTTACGCTTGTAAAGTTAATTACATGTTTAACGGCTTGCTGAGTGAATGTATCTAATCAAATTTGTGACATACCCATAAGATCGTAGATCACAATTCTAAGTTTAAAATGTAATTTGGGTTCGTAAGAAGTATTTCTGTTTTAAACTTACCTTTGCTGTCTGAAAAAGATCAATATTCATAGACGGGGATGTTGAAACCTATATTTCCTTTGAATGACCTGCATTTGTACTACGAAATGATCCTGTGGAGAAAAGTTGATGAATTCGAAACAGCTAGTTCTAGCAGAACTTCTATAGAACCTTTAATATAAGCTTACTTTCTAAAAGTATTTCAATGTTAAAATATCTATTCAAATGTTTCATTTTTAAAATGATCTTGGCTCTTGCTTTTTACCACATCAAACTTAAGTCGTGAACTTGACAATTACTCGATACATGTTATAACGCGATTTTCTTTCATTTTCTACAAAAATGGTATGTTTTCGAACGGTCACTTATGTTAATCTATGACCGTGGTATGATTGAAAATGAAAGAACTGAACCAAGTATTGTCGACTTG